AAAATAAAAACGCTAAAAAAATGAACTTTGCGGAGAAAAAAATAAGTTAAAAACAATAAACTTTTAAAGGAAAAAGCTAATTTTGGAATTTAGTAAACGTTTTCCTATAAAGTAGTTATTTGTACATCTTTTCATGTTAACAAGGTCAACAAGATATGCAAAAACGGTTTAACTATTTTTGGGAATCTGGAGCTCGGCTGTCAAGTGTCTCATCAATTTGAAATTTCTGGAGGGTGTGAAACATAACTAGATCGAGAAATTTGTATCTGCAGAATTTTTCAAAAATTCCAAGTTTTTCAGCTATTTGCCGTTTTCTAAATAACAACCCTATTCGACCCATTTTGTACAGAAAACGTGAAAAAAACAGTTGTCTTTCAGAAATTGCGCAAATAGCGGAAAAACTAGAAATTAAAAAATACTGCAATGTTTCAATCTAGGTGTGTCTTACACCCTGCAAAAATTTCAAAGTGATCGAAAACTCGATAGCCGAGTTCCAGACTCCTGAAAATGGTGAAAATCAACTGAAAACCACGTTTTTGCATATATTATTGACCGGTACTGTATCGCGGTTATTTTGAAAGATAAGGAAAAGTGGTCAACTGATAAAATGTGAATCATAATAGAACCAATATTTTGTAAATTGATAACTTCTTGATACGTTTTACAGGAACCGAGATACATAGGCCCACAGTGACGGTTTGGACGCTCTTCTATTAGAGTGTTTACGGTATATTGATAAAACAATTATTATCTTGTTTGCAATTTCAATTTACTGGTTTCTAATTCAAACTGAATGACAGGAAAACGCTGAAAATTGACACTGTTCTATCTGAAACAATCAAATTCAGTTTTTAGTTCATTAATTTTCGAGATGTCCAGCTTAATTTAAAATAAAGATTCTTCAAAAAAAGGTCCATGAAAACGGTCTCTGACCTCTCAACAACTAGAAAATCAAACCAACTTCTTGGATTCAGAAAACAGATAAAACTCTCTGAACTAAATGAAAACATATTTTTGAGGGACATCCCACTGAAAACAAGAACAAGGCAAAACAAAAAGAAACTGGACCAAAGCAAATAAAACAGTGTAAGAGCCTTAAGTTTCTGAAAGTCAGATCTACTTGGTCTTTATTTTTCGTCTTCCTTCAAAAAATTGGCCTGTCCCAAGTGTATATTCATTAGCATAAAGTGTTTTTTGTCGAAAAGGAAAAAAAATCTGGAATAGGAGATTTAAGCAAGGATTAGCTTAAACACTCCCTACATTTTTTTCTAGACAAAAAATTGTAGAACACAATTTTTTGTGTTCATTTCTAGTGAAAAACCCAAGACTAGAAAGAAGGTGAGAAACGAAGAATTATAAAAAACAACTCAAGAAAACAACAAGTTTTCTGAATAAGAAGTCGAAGAGGTGCTAAAGTATTCAGGCGGCGTTCGTTCACCATAATGAATTAGACTCGTGGTTTTTGTGACGTGGCTAATATTTCAAAAAACAAAAAAAAAACAAAAAGATTTTTAAATTTTTTTGGGCATATCGAGAATTTGGGTCATTATCGAACCATGGGAAATTATCAAACGAACTTTCCGTTCCAATTATTCCACACTAATTATGTCAGCGAGTCTGAGAAAAAATGTCTACGGACGAGAGATAGAGATATTTTCGAAAAATTCTCATCGGACGCTTTCAACCGTGCTTTTCGAAGAACACAACTTCTTTCTTCCAGACGTTCACTAGAACACGCGTCACAAACACACAAAAAGACAAATACTAAGAAAGTTAATGAGAAAGAAGCGTAAGACAGTGGATTTTTGAAATTCTGACATTTTGGAAATCAAGGTTGGTTGGAAAATGTTAAATAAAAACACAATTTTCAGAGAAACATGCATTATGTAACATCGGCTGGATCAGCAGGACCGAAAGAGCGGAATTAGAGAATCTGGTTGTATTCTAGAGCAATCAGAATAAATCACATTTTAGTGCGTAACAAGATTAACGGGGTTTTTGATGATGAATCTTGTAATAATTTATTCAATGGCATAATAATCTTGGTTTTATTAAAGAGATTGGTTCGGACTTTTGCTGGAATGGATTTTTAATAACTTTTGTTTATCTTTTCTGGGAAAATTATCCATTTTTCAAAAATCAGTTGGATTATTTTTCGAAAGGGATTCTGACATAGTCTCTGAAAGCAATAAAACAAAATTGGAATTGAACTTTTCCAAGAACTTGATAAAGCTTATCTTCAAACTTGGTACATAGCTCTAATTTCTCGCCATCTCAATGCAATAACCGTAAACGCTCTAAAAGCCACACAAACCGTCAACTTTGAGCTTATACATCTCGTTTCTTGTGAAATATACAGAAAAGTGGACAACTGATAAAATATTATTGGTATTATGATAAACACTTTATCAGTTGACCACTTTTTCAGATCTTTCACAGTAGCCGAGATATATAGGCTCAAAGTTGGCGGTTTGGATGACATACTATTAGAGTGTTAACATGAATTTTTGAATCGATATGTCAGGAAACTGGAGCTACTAAGTCTGAAAATCAGTTTTTTCAGTTTTTTTGGGAGGACTTTAGTTCAAAATTCGTTTTATTGCTTCCCAAAACTATGTGACAATGCCACTCGGAAATATTCCCATAGAATTTCGGCGAGTAAATGATTTTCCGAGAAAATCAAATACTTATGAATATAACGTCTGATCTTCCGCCCTGTTTTGTTGTTCGAAATTTTCTGAAAATCCATTCCAGCAAAAGTCCGAGAGTATCTTTTTTTGGAAAACCAAGACAATTATGACATTGAAAAAATTACTAGATCCATCGTCAACAACCCCGTTAACCTTATTATGCACTGAAATGTAATTTATTCTGATTGTTCTAGAATTCAACCAGATGCACGAATTCTGCTCTTTTGGTCTCGCTAATCCTAGACTGTCTATGGTAGAAGTCAAAAGTTGGAAAAATTAGTTGGGAACAGGAAATTAAAGAATTAGGAAACCAATTGACTGATTCATCCATAACGCAAGTGAATATGCACAAAAATGAATCAAGGAATTGACGAAAGAAATAGTCAATAATGTCCAGGTGATTAAATATTCATACAGATTAGAATTAATTGCTACGAGTATAAAAATAGTTATTATTTTTCTGAAAATCTGACAGCATCTGTCATTCTACTGATTCTACTTGGGCTTTTATTTGATTTAATAGGACAAGAATCATTTCAGAACAATACTTTCAAAGGTTCCACTTTAGGAGTAAATTTTTGAATATCTAAAATTTCAGGAATACAGTTTCGAAGCAAAAATTCCTTAACTTTCACTCTCTAAGAAAATAAACAACAAGTCCATAGAGTTCTTTTGGGAAATCCTAAGGTTTTTCCTAGCAATCTGGTGCCGGGGACACGCGCGATATTTTTAAGTAGGTCTGAAATGAAGGTCTTCTTCTTCTTTTTTTCTCACTTTTATTCTGTTTGGGACTGACACAGCTTGAAAGAAGCTTGAAAGAAAGACAAAAAAGGGAAGTGAAATGTCTGAAAACCGTCTCCAAAAAACAGGCGGACCACGAGGAGGAGTGGGTCGAAATTAAGTAGAACTTTTTTTAGATCCAAAATGCTGTTTGATAGTTTTTCAAAATTTAAAATATAGCGGGAAAGTTTTGTTTTCTGATGCTGTCAAAACAAAAAAGTTAATAATAGGAACGACCGCCACTATTTGAATAAAAAATAACAGGACGGTAGCTAGAATGAACTTTTGAAATTTATTGTTTTTCAACTGTTGGCAACTGGAATTGTAGAACGAACGGCATTGTGACCAAAAAAATAACACACGTGTCTTACTGTTTTGAGGAAAAAAATCATGCGGCATTGTTTTCACGATTTCAATCAAAAGTAAATAATAAGTTTTAATCCAGTATAAAATTGATTGATTAATGTGTTTCAAGAGCACCTAAAGTGTGTTTTTTGGTGCCACTCTTGTGTTTTTTTTTTGTGTAATGAAGTATAAACCTTAAACTGGTAAGTGTTTTTGAGTTCATTTCGTAATAAAGTCGATTTTTTCTTGATTTAAAATTACAAATTTTTACGAAAATTTTTTTAAATTTTTTCAAATTATGAAAAGACAAGGGAAATGATAATCTAGCCCGTTTTGTACCAATAAAAGTGGGCGAGATGGAAAACATTAAAATTATGTTAATTAGGAAAAATGAAGAGACCATTTCTGAAAATATGGGAACAAAGTACAATTTGAGCAGATTCCAAATGCCTAGATTGAAATGTTTGGACACCAGAATCCTTTCGTTTGAAGAAAAAAAAGAATCCTTTTCCCAGTATCAATATTTCATGTATATGTTTCTAAAATACTAGTACCCTAGAATTTGGAATTCTGACAGCAAGAGTCTCATCAAGATACAGAAAAAAGAAACGTTTCGGATAGAGGTTCATGAATCTAGAAATTTTTTTCAGTCATTTTCGTAGCTTTATAAGACCGTGAAAACTGTAATAGAAGGGCACCCTTACTTTTAACTTTGAGCCAGTTTTTCCTCAGTTCCATTAAATATATAAAAAGTTGTTGACTGATTAATTCTTAATCACAAATCACCAACATTTTATCGGTTGGCAAGTGTTTAATATATTTCATTGGAATCGAGTTAATGGAGCTCGAACTTGACAGTTGCCTTTCTATTACAGGTTTTAGGTGAATGTCAAACTCCTTTCTCTCATCTCGATTGTTGATTTGATATTGCTTATTGAAAATTGTAATTTTGAAAATCATACTTTTGCTGTGAACTGTAAAAATTGCAGTTTTGTTAACATAATTTATTGAATGGCGACGAAAACAAGCTCTTCGGAAGAAAAATTGACACAAAATGGACTTTTCGGACAAAAAATGAAGTTGAATGTTGATTTTAATTGTTGTTGAAAATTGGGACACAGCTCAGAAATTTAAATGATGATCTTATAAGAAAAATGGACACGATGAAGTTGAACGTTGATGGAATCAAAGAGTTTCATCCGAGGTGGCGACGTTGGTCAGCCCGGCAAGCTCCCCATTCTTGACGCAGGCTTCAATGTCGCCTGGGAAGACGACGCCGCCAGCAGAGGCTGCCTTGGCCGCATCTTCAACGTTGGAAGCGACACGGTTGCTGCGACGAGCATCGCGATCAGTAGCAAACTTGATGCACAAAAGGACCAGAATGCAAGACACGATGACGGAAATTGAGATGATAAGGGTGGCGAAGATGCAGAACGACATGTTGAAGCCTGGAAATGAAAGTTTTCTAGAATTTCTGAAAATTAGAGGAGGGGGGGGGGGAAATTTTAGATTGATAATTCTGCAGTTAAGGCACTGTAGTTACTATATAGGATTAACTAACTTTCTTCACAAGTCTTTTGGGGACGGAAGTGGTTAGGATTAGAAAACTCTAGTGGGTAGATCATGAGTCTTTAACACAACTAAGTATTCGAAAATATCTCGGAAGAGGTCAGAATTTTGACAATCTGTCTAGAAGCGGTTACACAACCCCATAAACGCTAAATGGATTTCAGAGTGTTAATGACTTGTAGTCCATTAGTCCTTGGTTTCTGGAAATGTTTATCGGACCAATTTAAAACCTACAGTATGTTAGAGAAAATCAAGGCCAAGCTGAAATTTCCAAATTTTGAAATGGCGATTATTATAATGAAGAACGCAAATAATAAACAATTCTTCAGAAATTATTTCTTTGGGTTACTGAATTCTGATACTATCGTAAAACCTGTGATAAAGATGAGCCAGCAAACAGTCAAGTTTGAACAAATTTTTATTGTCTCTTGTGCGAGATATCAAAATGTCAGGCTCTTCCATTACATTTTATGGTTATCTTTGAAAAAATACAATTACCGTAGAAATTGTCATAAACGCTCCCTGAGTTTCTACTTAGAGCCAATTTTTCATCTATCTAAAACCTGAAATAATGTAAAAAACGCATTCAAAACTACTCACTTTCTTCACAAGTTTTTGGATGACGGGCGTATTTGGTTTTAGTGAAGGGAAACATGTAGGACATAGTTCTAGAGATTTTAGGAAAATAGTTTTGTTGGATGAGTAAATGAGAATCGACGAATGAAGTATCTCCAAATTTGGGTAAATGTACAAAGCGAAATGTGACTTGTGGGCGTTAATAGCCTGTAGTCCATTAGAACCCACTTTTCTTAAAATTTCCAGTCCAACTTGTACTAGCCATTATTCACTTCCATAAAAGAGAATTCAAAAGAGCACCAGTTAAAAAAGCGAATTTCGGATTTCTGGTGTTAATGACTTTTAGTCCATAAAACCCCAAAGAGCGTTCTTTTAAAATGACGAATATTTTGTTTCGTACACCCATGAAAGTCGTTCAATTAACTTTATTTACGACATATAGTAAGAAAATATGCATGCAGCTCATTCCCTGTGAAAGATATCACAGAGTGGTCAACTAACAAAATTTTTATCAAATTATCATCAATACTTTCACAGTTAATTACTGTTTGATATCTTTCACAGTAACCGAGATATATGGGCTAAAAGTTTGAATGTTCTGCGTGCCGTTCTATTGGAGTGTTTACGGTAAATTGAATCAAATTCGGTAATTATAATACCTTTCAATACAAGCTTCACAGCATCTCCTTTTCAGCTTACTAGGAATGAACTAACGTTCTTCACAGGTCAGTGGGCGAAACGCGGCAGGGTTGGTGAATGAGATTAGGAAAGCCATGAGCTCTTGTGTCATACAATAGTATCAAAATTTTAGAAAAAAGCTGAGGACCAACTAGAAGAACTAACGTTTTCCATGACTTTCTTATATACATAAAAACCCCATAAACACTAATAAACGTTAAATACCTGTAGTCCATTAGCACACGCTTTTTTCACGAAATCTTTGAAATTCATAATCAAAAACTACTAATTTTTTCTTTTTTCTCACCCATTAGCGAAAATGTGGATGTGCGTGATTCGATTCGAAAATCTGAATTTGCGAAGAACAGATCATCGAAAATCATTTTTCATCAAGGAAGTCGGAAATCCGCCGACCCGGGATTTATAGAGGAATGAAGATATAATGGAAAAAAGGAATCCCGAATAAGTCAATAAAATTTAATGTATTTTTCCAAAAGACATTTCGAAATCGAGCAGCAGGAAAGGATATTTTAATAACTCAAAGATTTTATGATCTGCATTTCCAGGAAAAATGAAAAAGGATCATTATTTTCAATTTTCGAAAAAAAGGTTTTGAAAATGCTTTTTAAAACTTAATTGCATTGGAAAAAATTAGTGCATAAAGAAACGAAAAAAAAATCCAAATTGCGCTATCAGCACAATCTACACAATGGTCTTGTTATCTAAAGAAAATTATTGATTGATAACCTGATGCAACCTATCGGAAATCACGATTTATTGGGAGGAAAATTGGTCAAACCAGTTGGGAGCAATATTAGAAGAGCACAAAAAAGCATTTGAACAGTTTGAATTCTCCAGATAGTTGCGTAGAAACGTACACGATGGGGATGGGTTGGAGGAATAAAGATAAAGTTCCATGAAAAGAGACAAAGAGCAAAAGTCATAGGAAAACTATTGAAACCGTAATCAAGAAGAGGGGACATTTGAAGGAAAAAAGTATGGTTCGTGAGATACAAACCACCAATGACGGGTGAAAAAATACTAGATTGAAGATTAAAGCGTAATTGAGAAGTTGAGAGAAATTGACTTAGATTCCAAAGTTGAAAAATCGATTTTCAGGGTACCTAGACTTCAATTACAGATGTTCCTTTGTTGAGAGCCTTCCTCTCGTCGTGTGGTCCAAGCTCTCTAAAATGATGACTATATCAGAACCTTTTAGTATGATTTTCATTCACGATGACTTACCGAAACTCGTCTCTTCCTGGAAACCGCTCATCCTCTTCTCGTCGGTTGCAACAGCAGTAGTATCCGCAGGCGATCATGAGCATAATGAAGACGGTGACAACGACCACGACAATTATCGCGTTTTTGAAGGTTCCTCCTTTGAGATTGTCGATGAAAGAGGTCTGAAACTAGGAGCTTCAATTATTATAGAAAATTTATTTTGACCGAAACGAATCATATCTTCAATTTTCTTGAGTCATATTTTTTGATACGTGGTTTGAGCATTTTAAAAATTTCAGGTTTAAGGCATCTCACTTAAATTAAAACTTTCTGAAACAATGTATCCAGCAACTGGATATACGGTACCGGTCGATGAGATATACAAAAACGTATTTTTCCAGTGGATTTTGGGGCATTTTGACCATTTTCAGCACTCTGCAACTCGGCTGTCAGATCACTTTGAAATTTTCACAGGATATAAAACAGAACAAGATTTAAAACTTTGCAGTCACAGAATTACATGAAAACTCCTAGTTTTTCAACTATTTGCCAATTTTTGAAGACACCTGTCTTTCACGTTTTCAGAAGACCACTCGATAAAGTGATTTTCAGAAATCAGCGAATAACAGAAAAACGAGGAATTTTCGAAAAATTCTGTGAATGAAAAGTTTTCAATCCAGGTCTGCTTTACACCATCCAATTTTTTCAAAACGATCGGACAGCCGAGCTCTAAACTCCTGAAAATGGTCAAAATCCACTGGAAAATACGTTTTTGTATATCTTAATTACCGATACTGTAAGTTTAATTTTTTGTTAGTTGAATAACTTTTTAAGGGTCCAAAAAAATCAGAAAACAGACAGGTTGGCTTTTTTAATTGAAAAACATTAAAGTCAGATTTTATCACCTCAGCTCACTTCAGCTCAATTCACTTATTAAAGCTAGAAATATTTTATAACATCTTTCAAATTTTTGAAAACCCCCTTACCTTGATCACTTTGAGTTGAACACAATTATACATATCAATTTGCTGCTCCTTGAAATGGACGACAGTCCGTGTGCACGGCACTTGACACAGTTGATGGCACTCTGCATAGTCCCAGTAGGTGTAGGATGCTGGAAATTGTTTTTGAATTTTGAAGTTAGTCTGGGTACATCAAAGTACATGTAGACAAAAAATATGATTGACCGGAAGGACCGGACAATGAGGTTTCTGAAAAAAGACGTTGAGGCTTTCAGAAATCTCAAAAATTGCCGATATCTGGACTTTGAAATTAGGGAAAAGCGTTTGGATTTTGAAATAAGGGATAGTAAAATTGGCATTACCTCAATCTCAAAAATCAGGCAACGAAAGTGTTTGTTTTCAATTTCCGGCCATATGTACTACCAAAATAATTCAATTAACAACCAAAACAAAGTGTTCAAAACCTTGTCTCTTATCACTCACGTTTATCAGTGGTAGTTATACCAAAGAATGTGTTGTCATCGACCATACTGGACCTTCCACCCGCTGTAAGAGCTAGGCAGCTCACAAGAAGAAACGCAAGGAAACGTATCATACCTTTCTGAAAGAATATGAATATACTGTGAAGAATAGAAACTTTATGCAAAGAGTGTGAAAGTATGAAAAAGTTTTGAAAGAGGCGAGGAAGAAGAAGAACATATAAAACATAGACCTGAGTCATCAGAAGGGGAAGAGAAGTGGTTAACGGAAAAAAGTGCTGTGCGTGGAGGGAACAATAGATGGAAAAAAAAAATTTGGGACAATGTAGGGTAAGCTTGAGTGCCTTGAACTACATTTCAGATAGATATGTTTCGGGAAAATGGAGAGATTGAAAAATGGAACAATCAAAAGAAAACATGCTTAGGTGAAGCCAAGAAAAACCAGGACCCCCCATATGTACCCTAAAACAAATAAGTGACCAAAAGTGGGAATGAGGAAGAAAGAAAGGTGCGCGAGAGCGAGAATGTGCCCTCCCACCTCAAGAAGAGAGAGAGAGAAAAGAGAAAAGAGGTTGAGTAAATGAAATGATCAGCCGGGTATTTATATGGTATATAAACATTGTTATCGGCTCGTTCGACCGTACAACATTGGCGGGTCTACCCGGCCGGGTGTGCTCTCTTGTTAGTCATAACAGTAAAGCCTTAGGCCAAACTTGGGATGCTTTGAATCACAGCGACCTGAGAACAAGGACGGACACATATGACTAACGACAAGATTGTAAAACAAGAGTTACAGTGACACCTGTGAGACCACAAATGAATTTTTTGGGGAAATATGGCCATGTTTTGGGAAGAAGATGGTGGTCAGTGAGTACAAGCAAACGGAGAACATGAGAGTGAAAGAAAGAGAGAGATGGAAAGAGTATACATCAGTTTGTATTGTAATGAAAAGACAAAACGAGGCAAGAAAATTCGGAGAAGAAGCAGGAGAGCGCCGTGGGGGGAGAAAAAAGAGCATAAAATTTATGATGCGGTTACGAGCGGTAGTTGTGTAGTACCTGGAATTTTTGGAGGTTCTTATGACGTTGAGGATACAAGAATAACTAGGATGGTGGATAAGTGCCGAAATTTTAGAGTCAGAAACAAACAAACAGGAAAGTTCCAAAATTCTGAAAATTTCTGAATCAGAATAATCCAAAATTCCGAAAAACTCAAAATTGGAATATTCCGAAATTTCGTAATTTCAAATTTTCCGAAACCGTAAAATTCCGAGATTTCAAAATTTAGAAAACTGGAATTTTCGACGTTCCAAAATTTTCAAAATTTGAATATTCTGAAATTCCGAAATTCCAATAATTTCAAAACTGGAAAATTCAAAAATTCGGGTAATTTCGACATTTCCAAATTTTCAAAATCAGAATACCTCGAAAACATTAAAATTGAAAATTTTCGAAACTCCGAAATTCACAATTTTCGAAAATTGGAATTGTTGATATCCAGAAAATCCGGAAAGTGAACAATCTGGGTTTTCAGCATTCCGAAAATTCCAAAATGGAATATTTCCAAAAATGAGTACCGAGATTTCGAAATTCCTAATTTCCTAAAATCAAAGTATACCGAGATTCCGAAATTTCAAACTTTCCAAAATCGGAATATTCAGAAATTCAAAAATTCCGACACGAGGAAAGTCTTAATTTTGGATAATCCGAAATTCCGAAATTTGGAAAATCTGAATTGTTAAAAATACAAGTTTTGGGAAATCGGATGATTCTAAATGTTCGAAAATCAGATTATTCCAAATGTTCAAAATTAGGAATTTTCTAAAAATTGGAATATTCCGAGATTGAGAAATTTCGAAGTTTCGAAATTTTCGAAATGTGAATTTCAGCCAACATTCCAACAAATTCCAGAAAGGGACGAATTTTCGAACTTTCTGGAAATCTTAAGAAATCCGAGATTCTTTAAAATGCAAAAAACTATGAAAATGGCTCAAAGAAGTAATTAGAAAAAACGGAAAAATGATGAAACGGAGTGAAAGAAAAACTCAAAAACGCTATTAGTATAATATTTTTAAAACTTCTCTTATCACAAACCGAGGTACTTCCGTTTCCCGCAATTTTCCCATTATTTTGAAATTTTGAATGTTACCTTTTTCCTATCAAAAAATCAGAAAAATAAAGCTTCCGGAATCGTTGGAAAGCTCTAAAACTCTCAAAAAAACGAAAAAAAAATCGCAAAAAAAACCATAAACCCTGAGAAAAGCTTTAGCATCTCTTTTCAAAACGACTTTTTTTTGACAGTTTGTGTTTTTTTCTCACGTTGTTTTTCGATTTTTCCCTCCTTTCTTCTCCAATTTTCCAACTTTTCTCCTATTTACATTTCAGTGATGACGCTCAAATGTATTGAATGTTGTCGCGCTCAAGATCTACTCTCTCCTCTCTCCCACTCTTAAGGTTCTATTCACTTAGAGAGAGGACGAACAATACAGAGGGCTTGAGACGAGTAATGTACTAAATCAACAGTAGTAGGAATGAGTTTTTTTTTCTGTTAAATAGTGGATCAGATCCATAAAACTACTTGAAAAAACTCAAGAAAAATAGGAGACCTTTGGAGGTGTTATATCCTAGTTATATTGACCCCAAGAGCCATAAAAAATATTCTTTGCTCTCCTTCTTCTGTTCTAGACTCAATTTGTATACACATTTTTGTTGTTATCCGGACGATAGCTAGGAAGGCTATAAATAAGGCTATGAACAATCGATTTTCCTACTTTAAAAAAAACGATAAAAAGAAGAAGGACAAAAATTAGTCGACTAACATGGCGTATCTTATATGAAAATAGAGCAAACAATTGTTTTGTGTGGGGATGGCTCTAAGAGAGACAACACAGTGCAAATGACAGGTACTTGGTATAAAGTAATCAAGTACTACAGGTGAGAAAAGGGGATGAGAGGGATGGTAGAAAAAAGGAACAATTTCGAGTACGTATCGTTTACAATGGTGTCGATGACAAAATTCTGGAATGACACATTTCGAAAAAAAAAGCTAGAGATCACAAAAAACCAGTGATCGATTATTCAAATCTGTTAGTCACCAGATATCACGAGAGAGATAGACAGATCATGGAAAAGATACAAAACATAACAAGCCAAAACAAATGCACGTGGGTGTGATTTGATGACGATGTGAAATGAAAGAAATGCAGCACTATCAGAGTCCTGTATACGCTCCAATGACTGAGCCATGTACTGATAAGAGAGAAAATGGGTGAACAAGAGTGCGCAGAGAAAATACGCTAATTAGGAAAATGTTCGCATCGTTTAGATGTGTGTACCTGGTTATGACGGGTGACTGGATTCATAATAGTAGGGTATCTAAAAAACCAAATTGTTCGGAAAAATGAAATAAAGGGCACTTGGACTATTTTTTAAAGCGAAATTTGTAGGTATGCAGTACAGGCCATAAGATATACAAAACGAATTTTCCGGTTGATTTTTGGCCATTTTAACTACTTGGAGCTCGGCTGTCAAGAGGTTTCTTTCAGAAATCGACAAATAGCTCAAAACCTAGGAATTTTCAAAAAGTTCTGTAAAAGCAAAGTTTTCAATCTAGGTGTTCCAAGGTTTATCTTCGGAGGGCCCTTCCATTAAAGGGACCGTTTGATTACAGGGGCATAAATATTCTATTCGACGGTTCCTTCAACCACAGGGGCATAAAAATCCATCGATTTCACTAAAATTAAGCAAGTTTTGAGCAAAAATGGGTTTCAACAAGTTTATGTGAATTTTTAAAATTTTGGGTTATTTTTCACTGAAAACTAGCAGAAATTTCTAATTTCGAAAAGCACATTTTGAAGAGAGCCCTTGTGTTAAAGGGGGCCCACTATTTTTCCAAGCCCCTCTTAGAAAGCTCTTCTAATACAGGTTTTACGGTATTTTTCGAAGCCAAAAACGTAAAAAATTATAGTTTCCTGGAGAGTGGTTGTATAAGGGTCCGAAGGACTATATACGTTCTAGGGTTTGTGTGAAATACGATATCTAGAAAACAAGCCATTTTATTTTTTTTTTTTGAGAAACTCGAAAATTTTAAAGAAATGGAATAATGAAAATAGCTTATTAAGCTTGAATTTTTGAAAAACTTTTCGAAATTTGAAAAAAAAACAATAACTGCGATTTTTGAAAGAGTCAAAATCCCAAACAAAGAATCAAATCAAAATAAATATACCACACAAATGGTCTCCATATTTCGCTCCATTCTCCCGCGATTTCCTCCCGCAGCAGCAGATATTATCGCGCTCTCGGATGTCACTTTTCGAGGCGCCAAAAGCAGACAGCTGAGACAATAATGGAGATGAGGAAGAAGAATAATAAGAAGCGTTGAAAAGTTTTGAGAAGAAGGAAAATGGCGTGAAATCGAAACTTGAGATTCAGAAAAATAGGAGGAAATGAGCGAGCATTTGGAGCTTGAAGCTTGATTTCAATTTCGAATATTGAAAAAGGGGGACCTTGACTTCAAGTACTCTGATGTATTAGTACGTTAGTGTCTCCAGATGTGACATGTTGAATTAGAAAAACGGGGGGAAGTGGTTTGGTTTGCCAGGTAAATGAGTTCAGTTTTTGCTTTTCTGAGCATGAGCCATAAACTAAGAATGAACGAATGAAGCAAAAGAATTTCCAACGGAATTAAAAGCTCTATGAGCATAGTACATCCTACAAATTAGTCCGAAATTGGACTAATTTGTAGTGGTAACTTGTCAGAAGCTGTTTGAAAGGTTGAAAGAAAGAGGAGTTTCACACATGAATCTCTTCTACACGGCGGCGCCTGAATACATTTGTTGGTGCCCTTTTCCTCATTCATACACGCATATGGTGGTGATGGGTCAGAAGGGTGGGTAGGCCTCGCGTACTTTTTACCCCGCCCCCATCGCTATTGTGTTTATGTTTTAAGAGGTCTTAAGTGAAGCCGTTATGCTTGTTTCCCCTCGCCTTTTTTGTATTTGTTCAAGATGAATTTTCTTGAAAGTTTTCCGCTTCATTTTTAGTCTCTATTTTGTCTTCACACTCTGACTTAAAGCTACCCAAACCGCCACCTTTGAGCCTATATATCTTGGTTCCTTTAAAAGATATAAAAAAGTGGCTCACTGATTAAATATTGTTTGAATTATGATAAAAATTGTATTAGTTGACTACATTTTGATTTTTTTCACAGTAACCGAGATATATAGGCTCAAAGTTGGTGGTCTGGATGGCGTTCTATTAGAGTGATTACGGTTTTTTTTTTGGTTTGTTTGAAGTTTCCAATTAAGACACAATTCTTGAAACTCTTGGTTTCAAAAAACCATAGCTTCTGAAAAAATAGAGTTTATTGTATGGAAATAATTACTATAGAAACGAAAGGAAGGAAATGAAAACAAAAGGGAACAAAAAGGTTGAATATAGAGAAAAGAAGGAAAAAAACGTTCAAGAGTCATCTACCGGAATTTGAATGGGGTGGAGGGAAAGATCACAGGCAACGGTGGGGTGGTGGGGTCAGGTAAAGCCTAAACATGTTCATAGAACCGACAAAATGTAGAATTGAAATCGCAAGAAAAAAAACGCGAAAATTCCTTTTAAATAGAAATACACACACAATTGAAAGGAAGTAGTTATTGTTATTTCTTTTGAAGATTTCAAAGTGTCAGAACAGACGAGAGAAAATGAAAATTGTGTACGTTTTTGTGCTTGGGGGACGGGGAAGGGGGTTGAGATGAGGTGCAAACTTGCACAATGAGGGAAATTAAAGATTGTGAGACAAGATACTAGCGAGAAGAAGAAGGACAGGATTTAAAATGAAACTCCACCGAGTCAAGGAAATTAGAAAGAGAAACAAAAAAAAAGAAAGAATGGCAAAGGAAATTAAAGCAAGCCGAGGGAAAAGAACAGAAGAAACAGAAAAAAAATGGTAGCTACAGTAAGATAATTCAAATCAATTGAGAAGTGGATCTTTCCGCTCCATCTTCTGCATTTCAATGCTATTGGTACTGTCACGGCGTGGCACATAACGACAGCTACGCTCCGACGACGATGACAAGAAAACGCGATAGCAATTGGCGGTGGTCACACTTTCGGGAAGAGCCGCCAGGAAAGTGGGCAAAATCTGAAAAGAAAAGGGCGCATGTTCTGGGGTTTTAATTAAGTTTAAGGGGGGGGGGGGGCGAGGGGGTCCAATGGGTCCCGCACCCCAACAAAAGAACTGCTTCGTTTTGCTTACCAAGAGGCCGTGAAGCATTCCGAATGTGACGACCAGGAAGATGGCGGCGACGAAAACAGATGGTGAGTAGCTCTGGGTTTTAAGTGGATTTCTGGCAGATATGTTGTGCGTGGCGGTCAAGTTATTACCTCCCGAACTTTTGAAAAGTATTTTATAGGTTCGAAGTTTGATAAAAGTTTTCTCGAGGTTCCAAGGATCTTTTTTTTCAGCAAACCATTTTTGGAAAGCTCCGAAATGTCAGATTCTCGTCAAATCAGCTTTAAAAATCTCATTGCAAGGCTATTCTGATGAATTGAAATCAAAAGAAATTGAAGCGAGTTCTGGCAGGAATGAAGAAAGTTAGAAGTTTGAAATTTCAAGATTGTTAAATTTTCAGAAAGTGACTGGGTGGGTACTACGCCTAAAATAGTCCGCTTTATCGATCAATAAGATATAGAAATACATATTTTTCAGTGGATTTTTGGCGATTTTGACCATTTTCAAGAGTCCGGAGCTCGGCTGTCAAACACCCAATCACTTCGAACATTTCAGAGGTTGTGAAACAGACCTAGATTGAAAATTTAGCGTTCACAGATTTTTTTTTGAAACTTCCTAGTTTTTCAACTATTTGCCAATTTCCAAAAGACACCTTTTTCCAAAAGACACCTTGCCGGTTTTTGTACTGAAACCATGAAAAACAGGTGCTCTTCAAAAATCGGGGCAAAATTACTAGAAAGTTTCAAAAAAATCTTTGAATGCAAATTTTTTTCAGATCTTTTCAGATCTAGGTCTATTTTACATTTTCGAAAATTTTCAAAGTGATCGGACATTTGACAGCCGAGCTCCAGGCTCTTGAAAATGGTCAAAATGACCGAAAATCAATTCAAAAATACGTTTCTGTATATCTTATTGATCGGTACTGTATATGTTAGCGGTCAAATTGAATTATTTCAAATTCTTCAAAAAAATTTTCTAGGTTTTCGTTATTTTTGGAGACAATGATTTCAAAGGAAAAGATTCGAAAACCTCAAGTTCCCAAAAAGGGCTGGAATATTACTAGTTTAAAAAAAATTTTCGTTTTAAAGACACACAGATTTTCAGCAAGGCCTTCCAAAGCTCCGAAAAATATATTTTTATATTTTTATATTTTTCGGTAGATCCTTCCCGTTTTTAAACTCAATCTTCCTAAAAGTTCATTTCAGTTTTTTTTCTGGTTTTCTCAAAATCACATATTCTCAAGCGACACACACTTCATATTTTTCTCCTTATTCTGACATAACTACAATTCACACTTTCTTCAAAACGCCTATTGACTATGAGCAAATGCAACAAAGAAGTAACTATTTGCTCCGGAAGTTACGCCATTCCTAAGATTGCGTCAATTAGGGATGAGAAGAATATGATCTTAAGACTGTGTCACCTGATCAAACATTTCCGGTCACTCTATCCAGAGATTAACTTACCGCGCGGAACAACAACGGAAGGATGCAGCAGATGGTTGAGACACCAGCCTGGATCATTGGCCATGCCACAGCTCCGAGCGTGTGCTCTAACCGTTCCGTGGATCCTTTCAATGGGATCTTTTTGATTTTTCCGTTGCGAATCTCTTTGCGATGTGCCAACTGTAATAATTATAACAATGAACAAGTTTGGAGTTGGGATTAGGGAAAAGGTCTTGTTTGCGGAAGTGTTCCTAACCTGGAAATGGTACGCGACGTGAGCGATAAAGTCAACAGACAGGCCGATCGACATCAAAACAGCCGCCATCACAACGGGGTCGAGATCGAAGGACCATAGGGATAGGAATCCCATTACTCCTGAAAACGGGGAAAAATAGAAGATTTTTGAGACAGGGAGAGATCCTACCAGTAGTAATTGAAGCAATTGATACAGTAGCAGTGATAATTGAGCATGGGTTGGGAATGAAGATTGCGCAGACAACAGCCATACAAACCAATGTCCAGATTCCAGTCTGAATCGTTAATGTTTCAAATCAACGAATTGCTGGTTTTTTCCTATACGACCAGCTGACTTGAGACCCAATCAGGAAATTCTATGCGCCTTTAATTTTTGAGCTTGTAAATCGCTTCAACATTGAAGGTGCATGGAATTTTCTGCTTGGGTTTTGCTTCGGATGTTCCAGCAATTAGCTGATTTGCTTTTCACAGCCCCATAACACCGTAAAACCTGTATTAAGCAATGTTAACTTTGAGCTCAATTATCTCGATTTTTTGTGAAAGATATAAAAAATCTGTCACCTTACAAATATTTGAGGTACTATGACGAATAATTTATTAGTTGTCAAATTTTTGATATCTCTCACGAGAATCGAGATAATTCATCTCAAAGTTGACAGTTAGGGAGGGCTTTTGGGAGAGGAAGTACGGTAGTTTCCCCAGTTTGTACTCTTTTAAAATTTATTATTCCATTAAAAAAATCGCCAACCGTACCTGTGTAGCAGTTCTTCCCAAACTGAGCATCTGATCCACAAACATACCATTCGGCTCCCAAACTGTCACATTCAAATCCGAGTAGCTGTAAATCTCTTCATTTCCCACAATTATAAAAGTCAATTATTCTTACTTATGCGCAACTTTCCTCCAATCTGTCATCAACTGAATACGCGTGTCCCAGGAGGATGTGTTATCGTAGGCGACATTCATCATGAACCGATCCAGCTTGATTTTTCCTCTGAAAGAAATTTGAATAGTTTCGATTTTTCTCCATCTTTTTGAAAATTGCAACTCACTCTTCGTAATGATAATGGATGAAACTATCCCAATGTTTGAAGAAAGGAGATTTTAGGAACTCTGGAAGCTTCGCAGTTGTAATTTTGGCTTCATATGGATCAATTTCCTCGTGAACTTCTGGAGTGGAGAGTCCCAAGAATGCAAACAAATCAAAAGGCTCTCCATAGTAGAAGAATTTGACATAATCTCGAAGCCAGAGCAGTGTTGATGCCTTTCCTTTGCAATTGTGCATCCGTTCAAATTCATCAACCATATTCCAATAACGAGTCATCTGTTGGCGATTCTCTAGATCTAATGGAGCATTGACAAGAATTGTGACCGGGTGGTAGTTGGCCCACACAAGATTTGTGAGCACCAGATTCGGCCGTTGAAGAGGAGAATCCTTTGGGAGAATCTTTACGGCGTCCAGACGTGTCTTCATTGTCATAAGTCCATAGATAGCAAAGTACCAATAGATGCCAGTTCCAATCATCACGACAACAGCAAATAATTTGTGGGACAAAATTTTGCAGTAGATGTTGATACATCTTTTCCAACACGCCTTGAGCTAAAAAATCATTTTCTTCTATTTTGTGTCCCCCGCTCTAGATTTACCCATGCTCTCCATTTGCTATTATTAGTGGACGTTGTCTTGTGCTCGTATTTGGTGGCCACTGCTAGAATAGGACCGAAGAGTACCAGTTGTAAAATGTATGTGAGAGCTAACGCGATGGAAGATGCAATACAGAAGAGGCGAGTTTCTGAAAATAGCTGATGACGTCACGTTCCCTTCCAACTCTTCTTACCCGGAGTTGGGGCGAGTGCTCCAATGGCAAAGGAGAGGAAGTCGGTAAGCGAGGTAATTGTGATTGATGGACCAACGGACTCATAAACCATTCCAAGTCGGTTTCCAGTGCCACTCTCCTGCGCACGTCGCTCTTTTTGCCAGCTGTGAATCATGAGGAAGCAGGAGTCGACGCCTTAAAAAAGAGCTTTTAAGATTATGAACTTGTTCAATCACGCAGAGTGCTTCTCACTAACCGATTCCCATAACTAAAAACGGCATAACGAGCATGAATGAGTTGGTGCGCATTCCGAGAATCGAGACAATTCCATAAGTGGAGGTGATGGCGAGAATAGGGCACAATACGGCGCCAAGACTGATTAGACTGAAATATTAAATTGTTTTTTTTGGGTAAGTAGGAATTTGGTACATACAGTTTTCCTTGGTCCAGACAGTTGTGGTAGACAGCAGTGAGAATGACACAAAGAGAAACGAATGTGATTTCAAATCCGAATCCTGAAAACATTGATTTTCGGAAAAATTTTAAATAAATAAGTTGTCAATTAAAGAAGGAACTTCTAGCTCAAATAGTTTGAGGAATATTAAAAATTCGGACAAGTATGAGGCGTGGTTTTAACTGGTTACAGTGTTTTGAGTATATAGTGCGGTCAATATCTTTAAGACCTCCTTGTTTTTGAGCGCACAGAAAAAAACTAGAAGAAATATTAAAAGACTGTTAACCCCATTCGATTCACAATCAATAATAACCTCTAGAGACAAAGTTTCAGGAATTTAACACTTTCCCTGTCCGTGCACCATCCAAAAAACCGATACGCAAGCGGTCAATATCTTTAAGACCCCCCGGATTTTTCGGTGTTCCAGTGATAATTTTCATAAGATAGTTTTTGGAAATATCAAATATCAGTCTCAAAATTATTTTTGGGTAGTTTTTAATCAAATAAGAACTGTTTCTGAAATTTTCCCGATCAGAAATCGGGTTCTAAAAAGTCACCTCAAGATTTTTGCTCTTTTTGAGAGGATTTTCGGTTCTAATTGATGGAAATCTATGAAATTTCATATTATTAGAGAGCTATTATCCTCTTTTTTGTAATTAAATTGCTTGATTATTTATAATTGACCGAATTTTCCCGAACATTTTCACAACGTTAGCCCCAGAACTCACCAAACGGGCCAGCTCTGACTTTAAGAATCTGCACCCGTCTGTTCTACCTGAATCTGTATCAAATGACTAAGACATCAAGAAGGAAATAAGAGCTTTATACTAATAGTAATCTTCATAGAATTCCATCAAGTAGAACGCTGCATTTTTCCATAAAACCGAAAATCCTCTCAAAAAGAGCAAAAATCATGAGATGACTTTTTAGAACCCGATTTCTGATAGGGAAACTTTCAGAAACCGTTCTTATTTGATTAAAAACTACCCAAAAATAATTTTCAGACTGATATTTGATACTTCTAAAATATTATCTCATGAAAATTATCACTGGAACACCGAAAAATCCGGGAGGTCTTAAAGATATTGACCGCTTGCATATCGGTTTTTTGGATGGTACACGGACAGGGAAAGAGCTAAATTCATGAAACTTTGTCTCTAGAGGTTATTATTAATTGTTAATCGAATGGCGTTAACATATTTTCGATATATTTATTTTATATTATTATTTTACATATTTTCTCCTCTAGTTTTTCCTGAATGCTCAAAATCAAAAGGATCTTAAAGATATTGACCGCACTGTATAATTTTTATTGAAATTTAATGAGAAATTGTATATTTATAATGTCTTAAGAGCATGACGTGAAACCTGTAATTGAAAGGCTCTTACACTGTTAAGTTGAAGCTCAATTATCTCGGCTCCTATATGAGATATCCAAAAAATGTCAACTAACATAATGTTTGTCATATTATGATACACAATTTATTTGTTGAACACTTTCATTTATCCTTCACAGGGATCGAGATAAATCGTTTCAAAGAGGGAATTTATAGTGTCCTGTTAATAAAGGATTTACGGTATCTGTGATTTTAACTTTCTGTCTAATAATGGAACCTAAAATATTAATGTAATCAAATCTGGTTCTAGAAAAAAAATATACCTAAAATAACATATTTTTCTACGAATAACAGATTTTTGAGTTCTAACTTTAGCTTAAAAACTCCCTCGAAAATTATAAAATAGAATAAAATAACTGAAAAAGCGAAAATCAGAAATTGTATGACTAATATTCAATCTTTGATTTTATAGAATTTTCATGTTTAGATATTCAAATGTTTCAATATTCAAAAATCACCTGCTGCAAAGAATGGAGTCAACCGCCTTCCGTCTTTCATCATTTCGTTATCCAGAACGTCGGTTCCCACAATCTGCACGTCGACAATATCACTTTTGTACTCGTTCAAACTCCACTCATAAGCATCCAACTCCCATTTACTCAAATCTTTTTCCTTCTCTGCCGAATCTCTGTCTCCACGGAAAATGAAGACGATCACCTTCAAATCCCATATTTCAAAATATTCTATTTTTGTCTTTTGATCACCTCAACGTGTTTCATATTCGTGATGACCCGATGCGGGGGAAGATCCAGAGCAAGATCAGTGGTGTTATCTTCGGATTTTGGATTTAGTTCAACTCCAAACAAACTGCGCTCCAGATGAATATCAAATCCGTTCATGGTGGCCAGGGGATAGGAGAGATTTGTGCTTTTTGAGACAGACTTTTCATTGGTCCATAGTTTGTACTGATCATCAAATGCGTTCTTTAAGAAAAGCTCCTAGTACACAACCTATTTGTTATCGTAATACGAACCTTATAAAGCTCAAAGACCTTGTTGATTTGACAATATGGCTCACAGAGCTCACTAAACCGGAGAACACGTCCGTCACGAGTACCATTGAATTCATTGAGGAAGAACTTGGATAGCTTTTCTGCCTCGTCTAAATTCTCCTTTGCGTGCATTGTTGTCCCATTTTTGGGCATCAAAATCATTATCGTCATTGCAGGATCACCAGAAATGTTGTAGAATTCTCTGGAAATAATTTTTCTTTTGTTTTTGACTACAATTCCCAACCAACCGAAGTACATCAGTTTCGTATCTAGAAGGTGCGTTAGTTGGTGTGTACCCGTCACGAATCCGATCTTTGAGAACCATCCTATACATTCCTAATGAGTTGATCGAGATCAATAGCTGTAAATGAGGGACGACTGCTTCCAATGATAAAAATGAAAAAAAAACTTACCGCTACGACAAGATAAGCATGAGGATAACGTCCGACAGAGTAACCAACAAGATAGAACATCCGGCGAAGGCTGAGAAAACCGTGAAGACAGTTCAGTTTTTCTTGTCTATTGTCCATTGCTGTAAAAGGGGGGAACATGTGTAATTAGTATATTGCAGGTGGCTTGGGAGTGGTTTTATGATGAAACGCTGGATTAAAATAGTCACTTCACAGCCATATTAATTTTTTTCGTTATGAAATTTTATTGCGTTACAAAATGAGGGGAGTTGTTTTTTTTTGTTGATAGTAATTCAAAAATTTTATCTGAAGTTTTAAAATCGCTATTAGTAAGCCAATGCTGTATAGATTTGTGCCACTTTGAAGCCTCTAATCTAGTTTTGTTGGATTTTCCCTGAAAAATCAAGTTGTAACTTTTGAGTGTACTTTGAAATTTTCAGAAAAATTCGTTCATTCTTTACATCATTGTCAGAGTTTCTAAATTCTAAAATTCACATTTTAAAAACAAAAGATTGAGAATTTTCGTAGAAATATCTTTACAGAATTTTTTGCAGTTTTCTAGTTTTTCAGATATTTGCCAGTTTCTTAAAGACACCCATTTTTGCCCGTTTTTGTATTGAAAACGTATAAAAATTAGGTGTCTTTCAGAAATCGGCATATAGCTGCAAAACTAATAATTTTCAAAAAATTCTGTAAATGTGAAGTTTCAAATCTGGATCTATTTTACACCTTCTAGAATTTTTTAAGTGATCGGAAAACTTGACAGTCGAGCTTCAGACTCCTGAAAATGATATAAATGGCCAAAAATGAACTGAAAAATGTTTTTGTATATCTGATTGACCTTTACTCCATATTATACACTGGCTTTTTAAGAACAAAGTAAAGGATGTTCGATGCTTCTGAAAATTTCAAGGCAAACTCAACACAATTAGACATTTCTTATGATAGTTGACGACATTCTTGTACAACCCCAACGAATTGAGATATGAGGTTTTGAAATGGCACAACCGTTGTTTCGGTGCTAGGTCTGTCATTTTAGGCACTTTATTGGTTCAAAATGGCAAATGAAAATCAGCAAACATGTTACGAAAATGTAAGAGCAATATTTTGCAACAAAGGAAAAATTTTAGATCGAATTCTTATTCTCCAAACACTGGCAAATTCAAAAGAGGATAAAATTTTCTACAGTGGCTGAAATAGACCCCATAACGGCGTCAAAGCTTTCAAGCACAGATCTCTAATGTCATCACGGAAAAAAGTTCTAAAGTTAGCTTTTCTGACATGTGATGTTCATCTCATCAACAGATCGTGTTACTACTCCACAACCCTAAATGAACGTGACATCACAGGAAATCAAATAAACGGGCCAGTTTAGAACTCGAAGATAATTCTTCTAGCTTTTTCTTCATCTCAAAGACTCACCAGAGACGGCTCGTTCCTGTTGCTCTTCCTCGACGGCAGCGCCGTTCAACGGATCGTTATCCGACATTTGTAACTTGTCGTCGTCGTTTACAACCCGATCCTAGATAAACAACAAAGTAATAGGGCTAAAAGGAAGTTCGAAAAAAAAGATGACCAGAAATCGTCGTCTTCTTTTTCTTCTTATTTTATTCTGTTTGAGCTCGTGAGAGCCGAGTGCCCGTTGGCTATAATTACACACATACCTCGGTCATCCTACTCTGCTGCTCTCCTACTTCAGCGCATGCCAGTAACCCGCTAATCACTCTGAAATTTATAGAGTTGTTGTTGTTGGAAGAAAAAACGAAAAATATCGAGCAGAGTTATGACGTTAATAGTGTAACTGATCACCCGAAGGCGGATTGGGAGGAGAGAGCTCGTCTTCTCAAATACTGATCAGAAGAGTATAAGCAAAAACGCGCGGTCGGTCTTGCGAGTGAGCCCGTTAACGAGTCTATTCAGAATGAGAAAATGGGAGGAGGCAAGGAAAAATAGCTGAGCAGTAGGCGTGGCTCATTAACAGGTGGCTCTAGAGGGGAAAATGAGAGAATTTGGTTCATATGGAAACCGTGAAAAAAGCTGATAATGTAATTTGTACATAAGTGAAAATCAAGTGAGAAGAGAAGTTTGAATGTGTTTCAGATTTGGGGTAAAAAGAGCACTGAAAAACAGAAATTTAGATTTAGATAACTTGAAAAAGATCATTAAAGGAAAATGAGATACAGAGCTGGTCATAAATATATGGAAAACCCGTTTTTCAGTTGATGTTGGCCATTTTTAGAAGTCTGGAGCTCGGCTGTCAAATGTCGTATCCCATAACTTTGAAAATTGTGGAGGTTATGAAACGAACCTAGCTTCGAAATTTTGCATTTACAGAATTTTTTGAAAATTCATAGTTTTTCAGTTATTTGTTGATTTCTGAAATACACTTTTTTTCACGTTTTCAGTGCTAAAACGGGCCAAATAGGATGTCTTCCCGAAATCAGCAAATAATTGAAAAACTAGGATTTCAGAAGAAATTCCATAAATTCAAAGTTTTTAATCTAGGTCTGTTTTACATCCTCCAAGATTTTCAAAGTTATGGGACACTTGAAAGCCGAGCTCCAGATTTCTGAAAATGGTCAAATTCGACTGAAAAACACGTTTCGGCATTTATTTATGGCCAGCAGTATATTAAGATTTACATTAATTCAATAAAATGATTCTGAAGGAAATAAGGTATTGAATAGTTTTCAAATATTATGAAAAATTTGAAATTAGGCTCACAATTTTGATAACGATTAGGAATAGAAAAGGAATATTTGAAAAAAAAAACTTATGGCGGATCTCAGAATATTTCAGAAGCCTAGGATAACACTCAAATTTCACGGAAACATCTGAAACCTTCTCAAATCAAGGATTCGCTATATACAATATGAAATGTTTCCATACTTCATGTTGAATCAATAAATAGAATGACCGTTGTCAAATATTGGCTCAGTTTTCAGCTGCACCAGCCCATTTCGAAAGTTTCAGAGCTGACAGCTGCTCCGCTCTTTCTCTTTTTTTTTACTCACAATTTAAACTTTTAGAACCAGAGACAACTCCCCACACAAACTTTGAGAAATGAACTTTCGGCATTTTAAAAATTTTCTCAAAAATTTTCCATGTTTACTCTGAACTTTGTGGTTTACATGTGCGTGTGCAAATAGGAGTATTTGTAGTGTGACACGGAATGGACACGAAAGAATGGGTTTGAAGCTGAAACTATTTCTCTAGGCCAGAGTGAGAGCTCCGCGAGCTCGTAAATGTGATTTGGCCGGAGCTCTACAGATTTTGGCAAGAGAGAGAAAGAGAAAGAGGGGGAACTCAAAAGATATTATACTTGGCTACATGTACTCGCATCGAGATAATCAAATTACTGTACGTACAGATATATAAATATTTTTGGAGGCATAGAAGAGTGTTTTTGGCATTTGGAGCATTTCATTAAAAATGAGGACTTGGAGAAACTTTTGGAGAATCGGGAGGAAGTGGAAATGTTTTTGAAGAGTTTCGAAGAGACACGCAAAGCTGTGGGGGCCTTTCTAATCTTTGAAGATTGTATACATTTTTTGTGTCCTCCAATCCTAGACACATTGCTCATCGCCTGGACCAACCAATAAACTATTTTGTCCAAGAACGCTGAAAAGTTTGTTCCCTAGAGAGACCAGTAGCAAAAAAATTAGGATGAGAGGAGAGAAATGGATCCTTCTAGATAGGGGGCAAGGGAGGACATCAATTTTTAGCGAGGGGGTGTATACTTTTTTTTAGAATGACATTCTTGCAAAAAAGATGGACTGGATATCTAGAGAAAAACGTCATGAACGAATTTCTAGGGAGGTCCCCCATTCAGCATGAATGGGGAGGCTGAAGAGAGTCATGTTCTAGGGAATGTCATGTAGTTCCGCCGATTCTGTACTCTTTATTTTGATGGGTGAAAGATTCTGACAATATTTGAGAAAAGGCAGAAAGGGGGTACTGTAGTAGAGCTTTTGAGGTGGAAGGTACGATTACCGTATTTCAAAGTTGAGCCTACTTATCTCGGATCCCGTAAAAGATGTTGAACATTTGTCAACCAATAAATCATTCATCATAATGTAACCAATATTTTATCAGTTGACTAATTCAAAATATCTTCTATAGGGCTCGAGATAATTGAGCTCAAAGTTGACTGCCTGGCTTATATTGAAGGAGATATGATAGATATAAAATTGAACTTAAAAAAATTTTTAAAAAGGATTTGAAAAACATAAAAAATGTACTCTTCAATTTTTTATAAGAAAAACAACTCAGTAAACCGAATGAAGCAAGCTGAAACATGCATACAACTTTAATGAAGTTATTCATGATTAGTTCAAGGTGCTCCAGGTGCGAAAATCTGCCAAAAGTTTGAACAACAAACATCAAAACCTAAATCTAGAATCTCCTAGAAAACGGGGGCGTATTCTTCTATTTTCTATATTAATTGATAGTTATTCTTATATATTACGAATGTTAGTCGTTGAAAATCGTCGAGAAAACTCGAAAACACGACGTTATAGGGGTTTTGAGTAAACAGACGACGGTCTAGAACAACACCGGGTTGTCTGGGAGTACTGTAGAAAGGAGGGACAGTCAGGCCTCAGCCAAAAAGATTTTGGATGAAAAAGAGCTGGTTCAGGAAAAAAAATTGGAGAGAAGAAAAGTTGGGGACCATCGGAATTTTTGGAAGGCCGATTTGCATGTTGATGGCAATAACTGAAGTGAAGAAGAATTGAGTAGCCGCCATAGGGGGACAGACAACAGGCGAGGAGGGGGTGTGAGGCAAGAGGTTTTGAGCCCGGTCGGAGGGGGCTGAGACACTGCGAAATTCGAGGAGATTCGAAGTACCAAAGTCGCGCCCCGAGCCGTCCGAGACGCTGAGAAGTAGAGGCAAGAAGCATTCGGAGGAGCACGAGCACAAGAAAAAGGGACACACACAACTCAGACACAGCGGCCCTCTCCTTTTTCAATGTGTGGCCACATGGGTGACTCGTTCTCTATTGCTCCTATTTCTTCGAAGAGCGGAACGAAGAGGTCGTGGAGAAAATATAGAAGCATGAAGAAGAACGGAAAAGGAATTCTGAGCAGCATTTTTTTGGCGTTTTTGGCGCGCGTTCCATTTAGTTTCTCTCTTTCTGTTTCTGCCGCGCAGCTCCTATCTGTTTCCTCTTTTTCTATCTTTCCTAGTTTTCTCCCAAATCACAAATTTGCCATTTCCTTATTTTATGACTTGCTCGAAATTCCAGTAATTCTTTCTTACTTCTTTTAGCTTTTATTTTTGACAACATAAGTGGGGAGTTCATTTTTCTATTTGGAAGAGAAAGCTAAATGTAAGATAAGAATGTAGAAATCAGAATAACCTCTTTTCATGCTTTCTCTAAAATCACAAGTTTCCCATTTCTTAGTTTTATGACTTGCTCAAATTCAGGTTTTACTAAATCTAATAATTCTGTTCCGATTTTTTAAAAAGTATTTTTTGACTTTAAACTTTTCTAATTGGAAGAGGAAGCTACGATAAAAATGTAAAGATAAAAATGAGTTTGAGACAGAGGTCGGAAAAGAGAAAAGAGATTGAAATCGGATAGGAGCAGAAGTTCAGAACTTTATGACGGATTGAAGCATTAGATTAGAAAAAAATGCGTTGCTGAAAGAAAGAAATCTAGATTTTCTGAAAACTAGATTTCCAGATAAAGATGGAGTGGATAGTGGAAAATGAGAATTTGATGATTTCAAGGACATAATTCATGAACTAAAGACTCAGCTCTCAAAAGAGAACAACAACACCTTGGTAACCCGGATTTTGATGAAAAACTTCAAAATAATTTCAAGATGAATTGAGAATATTCTAACTACACACTTTTGAAAATTTTAGAATCCGCTCGTCAGAATGATCGCCATTTCAATCGGAAACAGCAATTTTCAAAAACGATTTTCTCAACTTCTAGGAATTTTCAGAAAATGAAATTTGTTGTGATATAGTTTGAATTGACACACTTTAACATTTCAGACATTTTCTCAAAGTGTATTTTTTTTCTAATTTTTGGAAAGTTCTGGAAAAACAAAATCGAAAATAAACATTTTTTCCCTTTTTTGATAAATCCTCCAAAATATGGAATTTAATTAAATTTTATTAAAAACAATTATTAAAAACAATATTCATGTTCTGGAACTTCCTAGAAGTTGAGAAAAAAGGGTTTCCTAGGGCAGAGATCCAACTCTCCAGGTTGCTCAGAACTTCTAGAAGCCAACTGAACTAGTCAGAGAAAACTCCATGTGTGGCTCCGCCCACCCCTCCTAGGGATCTACTCTTTTCGAAATTTTACGATCGTCAACTTTTTTTTCTTCTGGACTCAGCTTTTAAAGTATTACCCTTTCTTTTTAGAGAAATGAAAACTGACAACCTTTTGAACTTAAATCGTACTTTAGGCCCTCAAGTTGAGAGATCTTCTGAGAAACGGAATAAAACATCTGGAACAGAGGAGATTTCACAGCTAAAATTGCATTTGAGAAATCTTCTGAGAACTTGAGGGACCTTCCAGCAAAAGAAATCTAAAATAGAAAAATCTAGAATCTTCGGTTTTTGGTGTCTGAGCAATCAGGTAAATAATGAATACGCCCTATTTAGAATCATATGTTTTCGATTTTGAGTTAGGATAAGATTTTTGGTTAATTACGAGATTTGAGGTTCTAGCGGTTCTCAGTAAACAGTAGCTAGGAAAAGATATGATATGGAGCAGGAGAAGGAGGTTTTTCGATTTGGGGATGATATGTTTTTTTCAGAATATTCAGAAGAAAAACATACGTAGGAATATCAAAAACATTGGCGTGGCAGAGATTGAGCCGCCCGAACCAACTGGAACTAAAATATCGGGGATATTCCACTTCTCGTAGAAAGGTGAAAAGTGAAAAGTGTTCATCATAAATCATTTCAGGTTGAGTTAGCCTCTCCTGCTCTTTTCCAACAAGCCTGCGCTTTCACCCAATCGCCTCTCTCACTCTCCCCACATTCTTATAATTACACTTGCTTCTGCTTTCTTTCGTTTCGTCAGAAATCATGAACTCTTGGCTTTCGCACTTTTTCGCAAGAGTTGATATATGCGATACTAATCGAATTTGAGCAGTTCGAGAGATTATTTGAGGTGTTTTAGTAAGTCGAAAAAGAAGAAAAGGAACCAACTAGATACATTGAATTGCTGAGAAAACGTCATACATATGCCAATCTATTGACAGTACCCGCCACGAGGGGTGCGTTCTCGCGTAAACATGCTCATTGCGCAGCCTTCTATTATCGAAAACAATTCGAACAGCTGTGCACTATTTTTGGACGATTGGAAATGGGGAAATAATGTGAAAAAGACTCAGAAATGTATCGATGCTCAAGGGTTTTCGAGAAATGGGCGGAAGGGGGGAGAATCGAGATTGGGAGCAATTATGAGTCAGACATGGCGTGAGATAGAATGATGAGAAGGGTGGAAATCTGGAAATGTGGGAGCAGTGGTTTCAGGGGAGCGTTGAGTCGAAACAGAAGGTGATTCAAAGAACAGCATCACAGGAAGCAAAAACATTGAATCTGTATATCTCCGGAAGGAAATGGATAGTGAAAAAAATATACAGTCACTTAAGATATACAAAAATGTGTTTTTCAGTTGATTTTCGGCCATTCTAATCGTTTTCAGGAGTCTGCAGCACGGCTGTCAAGTGCCCCATCTTCTTGAAGAATGTAAAACCGACCTAGATTGATAAATCTACAATCACAGATATTTTTGAAAATTCCTAGCTATTCAGCTACTTGGCGATTTCTGAAAGACATCCTTCATTTGCCTACTTTTGTACTAAGAACGTAATAAAACTGTTGTCTTTTAGAAATCGGCAAATAGCTAAAAAACTAGGAATTTTTGAAAAATTTTGTAAATGCAAAGTATTCAATCTAGGTCTGTTTTTTAACTTCCGATGTTTTCAAAGTGGTCGGAAACTTGACAGCCAAGATCAAGACTCCGGAAAATAGCCAAAAATCAACAAGCATATTTTTGTTTATCTCAGTGACGGGTACTGTAGCTACAGTAGGAAAGCCCAAATTTATCTTTTTTTGACGTTTGCTAGTTCGGCATCCTTCATTATTAATATAATTATTAATAATCAAAATTGTTAAAATTTAGAAATTCTTGAAAGCATTGAATAAGAATTCATTTTTTAAATCCTTAAATCTGTTTTAGCCATATTTGATATCACGTTGATATCAAATCAACTCTGGTCATTCATAAGCGTTCAGTTCAATTATTTTTAGAATTTTCCATTTTCTATATTTCTGGAAATTGACGCTGGCGTCTTTAAAAATGATTCTTTTTTGAAATTCAACTTTTAAAACTTAGATCACGCTCTTATAGTGGGCTACAGGAACGTTTCTGCTCCTCACTATACTTTCTATCACTCACTACTCTCCCACTATAAACTCACTACACTCAAAAAACGTTTCCGAGACTCTTATCACCTTCTTAACACTTTTTGCTCTCCGAAATTTCATCATGAATTCATTTCAAGTTTATTTTGTTCATTCGTCATATCGTGACAACACATTTCTTCTAACAAACTCCATTGTGCCCTTCAGTCATATAAAACCCTTGTATTCAGACCCGCTATCCACAGGGCAATGCACCTGCGCTCTATCGCACAGGTCCTTGGGGGTCAACTGTCGGTTGTTTACGTGTTGGTGCGTGCTGGTGCGTAGCGGTCCAGAGAACGCACACGGTGTTTTGTTGTTCTCTCTTTTCTCGATTTTGCGATTTTGCGTCGTCCGCTATCGCTCTCCCAGTTTGTTTGTAGAAACTTGCATCTAAATCACACACAAAACACTTTGCTCTTTTTTTTCGTTCATTTTCATATCACCTGATAGTGCTCTATAGTATTTTATTTGTTAGAACCAAAAAATCGATAATTGCCAAGGCAGGACCATTATGCCATTGTTTTCCTTTCTCTTGTTCCTCCTGCGTCTCTCAAAGGGTACATTGTACCTTGGCTATTCTTATCATATAACACCTTTTTTGTTTGTTGGCAGCCACTTTTTTCTCATTTTTCGTATTTTTTCAGTCACACGTATCATATAACCAAACCGTATCATTTTTTTTCCAGGATGTCGTTCCCAGAAAAGTTCCAAGAAGCCTTGAAAGAGTGGGCTCCGGCACTGGTGGTCCCGATTTCGTTGTATGTAGCTTATAAGTGAGTTTTGCAGTTTGGAAATAGCAAAGTCAAGATAATTACTATTTCAGATTGCTGAATAGGATCATCCCAGGAGCTCATAATCTGCCAAAACTCGACGTCAAGAACAAAGTGGTTGTTATCACTGGAGCGAGTTCAGGTAAGAAAAGTTGGGCGACTTTAATTTAGCAAAGAAATGTTGAAAACGCGCATTAATCGAAATTTTCGAAACCAATAACGGGTATTTGAGGGTTTAAAGCTCTTGTGCTACAATACCGGTCGATGAAATTTACAAAAACGTATTTTTATTTTTTTCAGTAGATTTTCAGCCATTTTGACCATCTGCAAGCGTCTAGAGTTCGGCTGTCAAGTTTCCAAGCACTTTGAAAGTTTTGGAGGATGTGAAACAGACCTAGAATGGAAATTTTGCATCAACAGAACTTTTTGAAAATTCCAATTTTTTCGGTTATTTGCCGATTTCTGAAAGAGCTGTTTTTTCAACGTTTTCAGGCCAAAAATAGATGTCTTTCAGCAATTGGCACATAACTTAAAAACTAGAAATTTTCTAAAAATTCTGAGATAGCAAAGTTTTCAATCTATGTCTGTTTGACATCCTCCAAAACTTTCAAAGTGATCGGAAACTTGTCAGCCGAGCTACAGACTCCTGGAAATGTTAAAAATGGCCGAAAATCAGCTGAAAAATATCATATTTGGACCACACGAACAGAAACAATTCTACAAAATTTTCAGGACTCGGCAAAAGTCTCGCATTCGAATTGTACAAACGAGGTGCCAAAGTGATTCTCTTGGCCAGAAGTACAGACAAATTGAAGGAGATCTGCAATGAGCTTAAGGAAACATTCCCCCTAAATCAGAACGAGCCAACTTATTAGTGAGTTTGTCCTCTAATTTTGCACATTTCATCAGACGCTTTTTCAGCTACTTTGACATCACCGATCCAGAACAAGCGCCATGGGATGAGATTCCAAAAGTTGATATTCTAATCAACAACGCTGGTATGGCGAACCGTGGTTCTTGCGCTGACACCACTATGGCCATTCATAGGTAACACTTGCAATATTTTTTCTAATTCAATATCGAATGTTCCAGACAAGCTATGGAAACCAACTTCTTCGGTCACGTTCATGTCACCCAGAGCTTACTTTCTAAATTGAGCCCAGATGGATGCGTTGTGGTGACTAGCAGTGTTCAAGGAAAGGTGGCTATTCCGTACAGAGGATCGTATGGTGCTAGCAAGCACGCACTTCAAGGATATTTCGATTGCCTTCGTGCCGAACACAAGAATCTTCATATCCTGGTGGTTTCTGCAGGATATATTAACACTGGTTTCGGATCCAGAGCTATCGATCCATCTGGAAAAGTTGTTGGTGTGGAGGATGAAAATCAGAAGAAGGTGAGAATCGATTTATTTACAAAGTTTATGCTTAAAATTTGAGAAAAAATCTTCGAAATAAGTGAAAGATGGAAATTAGTGGCTTCTTCTTTTGAAGCTCGATTTCGACTTTCTGGTTGCTCTTCTTTTAGACGCAGACATAATTCTAGTTTTCGGCTTTGGAGTCGGTGGAAGTGGAGTTGTTGGCGCAGCAGTTACCAAAGGCTTTCTGGGAGAGAATCCTGGAAAAATTTAAAACTACATACTTTATTAGCTAGTATCAGTACGCTTCTTCGCCGATTGCTTCTTGGCAGGCGTGATGAGTGGTTTCTTAGTCATCACAGCAATCGGGCGGATGGTAGTTGAACTAATAATAACGGCTGCGACTGATGTCGTTGGCGGTTGTACGGTAGTCGTTGTGGTTGAAACAACAATAGACGGTCTGGTTGAAGTGGTGCCAATAAGACCGTTTCCTCCCCAACCCTTAAAATGAAATGATCGCGTTTTGAATGGGAGAAAAAAAATGAACAGTGTTGTCTTCACGTGCTTGGTTTGAAAAGTATCACATGTTTTCTAGAAGGAGTTTTTTTTTTGAAAAATTTGGAAAAGGAAATATACTCCAATTAGAAACTATTAGTGAGCAAAACACAGTTTTCTCCTGGCCATGTTACGATTAGTAAACTTAAAATAGGAGTGCCAAAAGTTGGTTGAAAAACTTCAGTTTCAAAATTTTAAAATCTATAATTATTTTTTTGAAGTACTCAAATTCGCCTGAAATGAGTTTTGCCAATAAACTGGTTTCCAAAATTTAGTCAAAATTTGAAGTTTTCAATTTCATTTTGGTTTTCAGTCATATAAAAGTTTTATAAAAACAAATAATTCGAAGGATACAAACATTTTGGGGTCATTGGAGTATAGGACAATTTAGGTGTACGAAATTTTCAATTCGGGAGTCAAAATACCTAAAAATCAAGTATTGCACCCCCGAATTGTGGACTTTCTACCCCTATATCACTTCGTACCTCCTTGTACCACCGTATCATTGTACCCTTTTAATTATGTGCCTTTTTTAAAACCAGGCCCACTGAAACCCACCAATTGTTGCTGATTATTGTTCCTTGGGTCGTTCCAGTCGGGTCCTACAGGCCAGTTGGCCGGATTTGGCATTGGGAAGTTTCCTTGCTCTCTATCTGGGTCCGGAATGAACTCCACTGTTGTAGTCTGAACTCAAAGATTAGTTACCCACAGAAAGAAAAGGATTTAAGTTACGGTGGTTGGCGGTGTGGTTGGCGCGAAGAGTTGAAATGGTCTTTGAGGGGCATTGAAGAAGTTGAATGGTTGTTGGAAAAAGAATTGGGCTAAAAGTTGCTTAGGAGTTAGATTAAAAGCTTGAGCATTCAGATACAGTATCAATCGATAAGATATACAAAACGTGTTTTTCAGTTGATTTTGTAATATCTTGAAAGATTTTAAAAAGTTTCGTATCATTTTGAAAATTCTAGAATGTGTAAAACAGACATGATGGGAAACTTTACAATTATAGATTTTTTTGAAAATTTCTAAGTTTTCAGATATTTGCCGATTCCTGAAAGACGCTTTTTTTTTGACCTTGTTGAACTGAAAACGTGAAAAAAAAGTGTCTTTCAACAATCAACGAATAGCTGGAAAACTAGGAATTTCCAAGAAGTTCTGTGAAAAGTTCTCAATCTAGGTCTGGTCTAGAGCTTTCAGAATTTTCGAAGTGATCGAAAACTCGACAGCCGAATTTCATACTTCAAAAAATTGTCAAAATCAACTAATTGGTACTATAGGCCCCAAATTATCGCACATAGTCAAAATGCTCCCGACTTACCGTTGGCTGAAATTCCAAACGCCAGCACTAGAAGAACCGAAAATTGAAATGAAACGGGCATGTTTCAAGACGACGAAACTCGACAGACTGAATGACCAAAACTACCTCTTTTGAGGCAAAGTGTCTAACCTCGAGACTGTCAGCCTTGGTAATTGAATAGTTGAATAGGGTGTATTACACTGTGAACGTTTCTTTTTGAAAATATGCCCGAAAAGAAATAGAATTACTTTTTTTATTCAAAGAGAGTTTCGAGAGGTCACCTGTCTGTTGTTAATGTGAAGGCTAGATGTTTATCTCCGATATGAAAAAGAAACTGAATTCCAACCCAAAAATTTTCCAAAAAATTTAAATTACTTTCAGGGCTACACACCGGAACACTGCGCTCGCTTGATCTCGGATGCTATCCGCGACCGTAAGACCGACTATATCATGGCTCACACCGATGCTCGTTTCGCCGTCTTCCTCAGATGGTTCTGGCCCAACACTTCTCAACTATGCCTTGTACATCCGTGGAACCAAGGATCAATGGGCACCAAAGAATAAACAAGAGTAAAATATCATTGTGATACAAGTATTTTTATGTATACCTCGATATTTATTTGGTACATCAGATTGTGTATTTTTCTGAAAGTTTGTTTACAAGGTGTAGAAATCTGTGAATAAATAAAGAATATTTTTTACTCTTCCTATCAGTAAAAAATTTCATTCCAACTAGATGAATAACCTGTAAGCAAAAATAAGAGTTTCATCAACGTTTCAAAATTCCTTCCGTTGAATTTCCCTTTTTAAACTCCGTACTGGCTAACCAATTACACTGATAACACCATCGTCAATCGAATTGCCAAACCCCTGTGTTAATTTTGATAACACAATAACTCTAAGATCTTAATCCCCTTAATTTTTCAAACGACACTCGAACGATTTTTGTTTCCTTCTGGCATTTTTTTGGCTTACCTCCATTTCAATTTTCTGTATTTTTTTAAATTTTTGTTCTAATCAATGGCGTGGCTAGGTGAAGATGATATGGGCTATACATCGCCAGCGGTGCCAAGACGAGACGTGAAATGGTAGGGGTACTGTAGATATGTATTTTCCATTTTTAAAAATTTTCCAGGTACTTATTGGAAGACACCGATAATCGAGTGAAATGGTTCACGGGTATTTTGGTAGTAGTATCAGTAGGAATGTTGATAGCAGGAAGTGTGATGTTAGGAATTGGAATTTCGAAAAACAACAGTAATCCTCCACCACCAGGTTACTGTAGATTTTTGAGCGTTCTAAATGTATCAATTTTTTCAGTAAATTTGAATGCAAGCGGGTACACAATGTTCCTAAATGTTCGGACTAAAGATCTACCGTACTCCGCAGTGCTCAACGATTATAGTGGGAGCGTGAAAAATCTCACCGAACAGGTAAACTGCAATCTTGAATATTCTGAAGTTTTGCAAAAATTCAATTTTTCGAAAACAAGTTGTGTGATGAAATATAGGTGTGTTGAGTTAATTATATACTGCTTATCAGCAAAGTGACATTTCGAAATGTTGCAAATAAATATAAATTATATGACGGTAAACGTTTCAGATGCGACAAGCGATATCTCCTTCAAGGGCCTCTGAATTCACGGTTCAACCAGATGTTCCTATAACAATGTACGGAATTCTGCAATCCCGAGTTTTAAATTTGAAAAATTTAACTTTTCAGTTTGGGTATCTCGAATGCTGGTCAATGGGCCGATGTGATGTACGCTTTGTCGTATATTGAATCTACAAAGCCTTCTATATCGGATATTCAGAAGCAGGTCACCAATTCTGAAGCATTTTCGATGATTTCGGCAATAGATCAAACTCCTCCAGCTCTGACTCAAATGACATGTGCCTCTGTAGCGGATGCAATGCTGACTACAGTGTCTCCAGCAGTCCCAACTAGCACGCCTGCTCCGAATACCTCGCCAAAAGGAAGTACTGCAGCGTCGAGCTCATTTGGAACAGTAGCACCTGCTACTGGATCTACAGTAACCCAGCCAACAGTAACTACCACTACGAAACCTGCTCCGGTTACCATTACCACTGTCACAACGCCACCAGTGACTAGACCAACAGAACTCGCGAGAACTACAACAACTCCATTTGTAAAAACACCATTCAGTATGGATGTTATAATTCTCCTAGATGACTCGAAAGCGATGCAAACTGCCAAGAATTTCAATCAGGTTAGTGTCAAAACCATTTTATTCTTCAATCTCAAAAGTTTAGGTGAAGTCCTGGTTAGACAGTACTCTTCTTCCGCTGTGGTTGATTGATAGGGAAGATGTACAAGTTGCATTCGCCACTTATGCAGATGTAAGTCAAAAATAGATCAATAAAATAACACGAGTTTTTAGACTGAATTCAACACGCTTCTCGATTTCGACGAAGCTAATGAGAAAGAGGTCACGGATGTGATTTCAGCTCAAATGTACTCTGGGAAATTCAACTCGAGTATTACAAAGTGAGTTGTTACTTTGGCATCCTAAACCTATTCTTTTTCACCGTATTCTTTTTCAGCGGTATTCGAGCTGCGGGCGATATTCATGGATTGCGTCCGGTTAATCAGACTGTGATTTTGATCTCTGCCTCTGAGTAAGTACCAGTAATATTTGACATTACTAGCTCTATCCTATCATTCAGAGACCTCACCGATATTGAATCCGCTACGCAGTATGCCTATATCCTTAACACTCTTCCCAAACAACTAATTACTATCACTTTGAACTCTGCAACTAGTGGGAAGCAACTTGGACTACTCTCTACCAATCAGAATCACTATTTTGGAGTAGCAGATTTTAATCTGACTTCTGACATTGCTCAGCAGCTCACACAAGTCATGTTTGGGTCATTGACACCGTCTACTGTCTTACCGCCAACGTAAGAAACAGTTTATCCGGATTCTAGATTATGATGCGTGATTTTTCAGACCCACTCCATCTGCCATCCCAGATAACGCTTGCAAAACTGATGTCACAATTCTCGTAGACAACACTAACGATGTCGGAAGTATTGATGAGTTCCAGAATGTAATTTTTCGATATATAGGATCAATAAGATATACAAAAACATCCCATTCAGTTGATTTTTGGCCACTTTTGACCAAGTTCAGAAGCCTGGAGCTTAGCTGTCAAGTTTCCAACCATTTGGAAATTTTTGGAAAATGTAAAACAGTCATAGATTGGAAACTTCGCATTTACAAGGTTTCTTGAAAGTTCCAATTTTTGAGCTGTTCGCCGATCTTTGAAAGACACCTGTTTTTAGCTTTTTCAGTCTGAAAAAGAGTGTATTTCTGAAATCGGCAGGTAGCTGGAAAACTAGAAGTTTTCAAAAACTCTGTAAATGCAAAGTTTTCAATCTAGGTCTGTTTCAGATCATCAAAAATTTTCAAAGTGATCGGAAAGTTTAGCAGTCGATATACAGACTCCCGAAGATGGTAAAATTCACTTGAAAATGCATATTGGTCTTATTGACCGCTACTGCGCGTTTGAATTAAATAATAACATTTCAGCAAGTACGAACCATTTCCAAGCTCATCAAGACCTGGCCAATTTCTCCAGAGGTCATGGAAGGAGAAGCTGTTGTTTTTGGAACGGTAACAAACTCCTAATATTTAAAATTCCTTTTTTTTTTTGGTTCAGAAAGAAGGCGGTCAAATCATAGAAAACGCGTTCAAATACCAAACAGCATCTGCATTTGCAAAAGAAGTTATGGCGTTTGATGATCTATACTTTCCGAATTCCTCTCCAAGTTTGACCGCTTCGTTACAGTATCTAGCACAGAATTTGGGAATAGAAGAGCGGATCGCCAGCAGGCCACATTGGTGTTCACTTATTCAAGGTTAGAGTTCCCGTAGTAAATTTAGTATTGCTTTTTTTCCTTAAGTGACAATTCGGATGCGCTAAGCGCAATCCCATTTGCAAATCAAATTGGAGGGAATCTGATCATTGTTGCAATTGGTAGCGCCGATCAGACCGTTTTAAAACAACTTTCAGGAAATGTGATTTATGTGAAAAACATGACCACTGACATCATTGACCAGGTTGGTTTTAGGAAATCGAGAAACTTCAGAAAAAACGGGATTTCAGGTGAATAGTCTTCTCTGCTCTCCATCCACAAGAGCTCCATTGATCACCATTCCAACCACAGTTACCAATAAGCCAACTATAACTACAGTTGTTTCTACTCAGCCACCTTCAACAACCCAGCCACCGCCAACCACGCCAAGTAACTCCTTTACAACTAAGTTAGACTTTTAGGGATAATTTTCTTTTTTAGAACCCGACTTCTGTCCTGACTGCTATCCGAAAACGTCAAACATTTTGATTATGTTCGAAGCTTCAGGAGTAACGGTATTCAGACGAACTACAGTACTTCAAAAACAAAATGAATTTCAGCTCACAAGCCAGAAAAAACTAGTGGACACTGACTTGATTACGAATTGGACTCATTTCGAGCGAACTTCAGTGATGGGATTTGCTACAAATAAAAAATTCGTAGACCCACTTCCTTTCAATGGTGTTGAGAACAAAGATGATTTTGTGAGCATTGTGGATAATGCTATAATTGACTTAGCAGTAAAACCAACCATTGTTGCGTATGTGGTTTTTGGAATATTCTATAAAACTTGTAATTTGGATTTCTAGAGCATTCACTATGGCTACAAACCAAGCGAACCCACTTCAGAGTTTTGGAAGAATGAATACAGTGATTTTCACGAGTGGAGCGTGAGTTTTTGAACCGTAAAGAAGGATCCGGCTGTCGTTTTCGATCACTTTCAAAGTTTTGAAAAATGTAAAACAGACCCTAATTGAACACTTTGCATTCACAGGATTTTTCAAAACTTCCTTGTTTTTCAGCTATTCAACGATTTCTGAAAAACGCCGTTTTAGGCCCATTTTAATACTGAAAAGATGAAAAAAAACGGTGTCTCTCAGTAATTGAAGAATGGAAAATTCTGCGAACATAAAGTTTCAAATCTAGGTCTGTTTTACAGCCTCTGAAAGTTTCAAAATTATCAGAAACCTGACAGCCTAGCTCCAGGCTCCTGAAAATGGTCATAATGGTCGAAAATAAACTGAAAATGCGTTTTGTATGTTTTTGGCCGGTACTGTACATCAAAATGCATACTATAACTTCGAAAAAACCTTATTAAAACATAACCAAAAAAACCTTATTAAAACATAACCAAAAAAACCTTATTAAAACATAACCAAAAAAACAACTCTAAAAATCATCTGCTCCCCTCCTTCAGAAAACTGTTTTCAGCACTGACGACGAAATCAATTCGTCCGTCGCCATGTCTTCTATGCTTCGATATAACGGAAAAGTGATTCTAGTCGGACTGAAATTAACCGATACTACTGGTTTGAACTCTCTATGTGATGTTCTGATCAATTGGGAGGATTTTACCAGTACGGCAACAGTTGCCGCCCAAATCAACCAAGCCTTGAATAGTTGAAATATCTGTTTTCCTTGATAAAATTGTTTCTTTCTTCTTTTCGCCTTTTCCGAATTTTTCTTTTTCCTTTGAGAGAAAAGCACAATGTCAATATTTGATTAAAACTGCGTTTCCTTCCTTCCACGTTTTGACCTCCTCCTCCCTCTAAACAGCCGTTTCTTCGTGAGCACCAAAAGCGGAGAAGATTTATTCGAAAAAAGAGAAAAACGATAGAAAAAGTAGAAAAAGAGAAAGTTGAATGAGAACTGATTATTATCACACTCACAAAGCAAAAGCCAATGACAAAGCCATATGCTGATAGAATAATTTATTATGTTACAACCATATAAGTTATGCGACGAGAAAAGTGAAAAAAGAAGTTTACGCTGCTGAACATTTTAACCATGCCATTATGATAATGATAACATTTTCCAGTCTGTTTTTGTCAGATATCAAAGTTTTTGCTTTTTACTGGCGGGGGGATAGCGGAAAGAGAGGGATGCAAATAGAAATGTAAAACATTATAAATTATGAATTTGACAATCGAAACCATCGGACGAGAAACAGTCGAAATGGGTATGACGGGTGGTTTTGAATAGGAATAATAAATTATGCGTTGAGATAGCGAGAACCACAACCACTTGGGAACTTTTTTTTTTCGAAAAAGAAGTTTAGCACCAGCAAGATCCTTCATCGGTGACAATTTGACGCTGGCGGATTGGATCCATTGTAACCACATTTGCTGAAAAAATAGCAATTTGAAAAGCTGAAACCCCTTAAGCTATTTCTTACGCTGCTCCACTGGATCATCCTTGATGATTCCTGGCAGTGCTCCAGCGATACGACGGAAAAGCTGCTTCACATTGTATCCAGCCTTGGCAGACGTCTCGATGAACATGACATTGAGTTCCTTGGCCTTTCGCTCTCCCTCGTCAGTGGTGACTTGTCTGGAAAATCGAGATTTTAATCAACATTCTTTCAAAATGTTATATAGGGTCCAATACAAATGTTTTCAATTTCCGCAATTCAAGGACACACCACCACTACTAACCTCTTATCGGAAAGATCCGTCTTGTTTCCAACTAGCATGATGATCACATCGCTTCCACGCTCGGTTCTGACATCGTCGATCCATTTGGATGTTTGGTGAAATGAATTTGAATCTGGAAAAACAATGAATGTAGTCTGGGAAGCAGTAGAAGTCTTCGAAATGGTAAATGAAAAACTTTCTGGGCTTCTAGACGCAAATTTCGACGGTAGCTTTGATTTTGGTATCATTTCTCACAGTGTGAATGGCTAGTTTGTGCTAAACTATCGATAAACACTGCTTTTTGGTTTGGTTGAATTTAGTGTAATTAGCACATAATTCGGAGGGTAGCACAATTTTGGGGTCAGTGAGAGTCAAAATCTTTGATTCAGACTAAAAAGAGGCAAATTTTGTACCCCCCAATTGTGGATTATAGACCGCTAGGTTGCTTTGTGTCATGTTGTACCATCGAATAGTTGTACCCTCCGAACGATGTGCCAATAGAAGTTGATTGAGTACAGCATCGTAAGAACTTCATTTTCATTGAATCTGCACTGCAAGAGTTCGACAACCCATCTCAGAAAGATTTCACCCGTTCTCCTAGACCGGAATAGGCAATTTCTGCTTGCCACTTATACAAATTAGTGCATGCTTCACTAATCGTCTACCAGGATCCTTGCACAGACTACAGACGGACCACAGACCGACTCCGCTTAGTAAGAGTGAGTCAAACCTTACTTGGGTCTATTCATTGTTTTTTTTTATTCACTGAAGGGTATCTGGTACTAAACCTTACTTCCTACAAACCCTGAAAAATAAAAACGCACTGGTAATATCATAAACCACAACAGCAACAGTCGAATCACGAATGTAGGATGGAATCAAGGATCGGAAACGCTCCTGTCCAGCGGTATCCCAAAGTTGGAGACGGACCTGAAGTCATAGATTAGATGCTAGCTCTTCAACTGATAAAACTTACAGTTCTATCCTCCAAATACATCGTTTTACTTAAAAAGTCGATTCCAATAGTTGCTTGGTAAGTGTTGTCAAAGGAGTCGTACATGAAGCGGGTGATGAGGGAGGTTTTGCCAACTGGAAGTGATAAAAATTTAGATTTTGAACTTATTTGTCCGGAAAAAAACTCACCACTCTGCTCGCCGAGGAAGACAAGCTTGAACTTTTTCAAGGGATTACCAAAGTCCGACATTGGTTTCTGAAAAAAGTAAAAACTGCGAAACAAACTGAACCAGTAAAAAAAGAAGAAAAAAAAAGAAGAGATACAAAGTTTCATCGCATTTCGGACAACAGATGACAACAGACTACCGCCACAAGGAACACAGAAAATCGATGAAAGAACGGGTGAAGAAAAGAGAAGCAAAAGAATGCAACATTTGGACGCGCAACCCACCACTCGCTTGTTTCGCATCGATTTTCGTTCAAAGCGGAGAAAGAAGAAATGGAGCTCACTGAGCAAGAAAAAGAGGAAAAAGGAGTCCTAGAAGTAATGAAATTGGACCGTAAAAGGACGATGAAAACCGCGTTGAACACCGGCCAACCACGTATGCGATATATGCGAGAGAGAGGGAAGAGGGTTAGCCTGTCGAACGAGAGACTATGAAGTAGAGTGGGTTTCCCGTCGAGACCCGAGGCGTCACTGCCTCGTAAATCTACACCTGCGCACTGACCCCCTCCAATTATTTGTTCGGCTTAACAAAACACGCACAAAAACGGGAGGGTCAAAGCCCTATGATGAGACAAAAGTTGATTTCTTTTTGAGCCCCGAAAAACAAGGTTTTTATTCGGGCTCCTTATCAGTTAAGATAGTGAAAACTGAGTCATTCGAATTGAGTCATATGTCTAGTGGCTTGAAAAAAGATGAATCCGGAAAAGATCCGGAAAAGAAACGTAATAATTATAGACTGGAACAAGGGAAGGTTCCTTGAGAAATGTTTATAAGACCCTGAAGCATTCAATTTGCTGCTCAACTATATAGTTTTGAAGTAATGGGCCGGAAGAAAACATTTTTTTTTTTTAAATTTTGAGAAAAAAGACAAATTGGAAAGCTTGAAGGGTCCAGAATAGTCTGAAAACGCTGAATAATAAATTATATGATATTTCAAAAAAATAAAGATAATGTTTTTTTGGCAATTAATTGGGAGGTACAAAGCATTTTACGGGTACAAAATTAAAAAATTTACGGGTACAAAATCCTTATTTTGATGGTTCGAAATACCCGAAAAATCTGAATTGTTTGCTTCCAAATCACTTTGTACCCCCTTGTACTCTAAATCGTTTTGAACTCCGAAATGTGCTTGCAAGATTTGAAAAACCCTTTTTACTGATTTTGAATCAATTTTTTTCAATTTCGGGATATTTTCCAGAAAAAGGAGATTTTCGAATATTGATTATAAAAATTCTGCCGCTTTCTTCTACCAATTTTTATTTAATTTTTGGAAAAATTGCAAAAAAATATTTTTTTAAATTTAAGATTTATGGAATTTTAAAATCCCCCGTGTTCCAATTTTTTGATCTATGTCCTCATTTTTGATCTATACCTTTCTTATTCCTTTCAAAGAAACACAGGTACAATGGACTTTGGACTTTGTAGTGACTACACCGTACCCCCCCCCCCCCCCCGCCTTTTGCCGGCGGTTACCTTGCCAGGGGTCAAGATAACCCGTTTTTCGGTCGTCTGCGTCTCGCACTCTCTCGTTTGCCACGTTGAACACAACACAGTTCAACGGACCATCGAGGCCTCTGTGCGCGTCCTTGCCAGTCATTTTGTGAGTGCGCGCAATCCGATGAGTGTCTCTATTTTTTGTCTTTCTCTACATTGATTTCTCCTGACCTAGGCTATTATTACGTTGATTTCTCCGAGTGCCAAACCATAATAATTCGGTGCTGGACACGCCAGGCAATCTCTTATCACCAAAATGTTTCTCTTATCCATACCCAAACAACACAAATCGCGTCTCACTCTCTTCCCGCCCTCCGGTTGTCGGTCCAACGGCTACCCAACTACCTTCTTCTTCATCACAACACATTTTTCTCTTTTCCCCCGTGTTGATGATAGTAGACGGACGCCTCACACACGCACACACACACACACACACACACACACACACTCATCTTGTTGTGTGTGTTCCACGTATTTATTTTTTTGTTTTTTTGTCCCCCCGCTCTAATATTGATCCGGGTCTAGCTGTACCTAACTAAAAATCCTTCATTTTCAGAAGATGCTCTCCAGAAACTTGTCCAAATGCACACGTATGTTCAGCACGTCGAACAAGGCGATGTCGTCGACGGGCATCGATTTCAACTTGACCGCCGACCAAGCAGAGTTCCGTGCCAACGTTCGCAAGTTTGTCGCCGATGAAGTGATTCCAGTCGCCGCCGAATACGACAAAACCATGGAGTACCCGTGGCCAATCATCAAGAAGGCTCACGCTCAGGGATACTTGATCGCCGATATTCCAGAAGCATATGGAGGACTTGGAGTAGACATGGTCTCCAACTGTATTATCAGCGAGGAGATGGCGTATGGATGTTCGGGAATCGCCACTGCTATCATGGCCAATGATCTTGCTCTCACACCACTCATCTTGTGTGCCAACGATGACATCAAGAAGAGATTCTTGACCAGAATGGTGGAGAATCCGTTTGTTGCTGTGAGTTTATTGTTGGTTTTCATCTGGAACACCCAAAAAATATGTATTTCAGTCCTACGCCGTCACAGAACCCGGAGCTGGATCCGACGTAGCTGGAGTCAAGACAAAGTGCGAGAAGAAGGGTGACGAGTACATCCTCAACGGATCCAAGATGTGGATTACCAATGCTGGACATGCCAATTGGTGAGTTTCGTTCTTCGAACCTTCACCACGTGGTCTAGTAATGCGTCACAACGCGTTGTAATGTCGGCTTCGGAAGAGGCTACATGCAGGGTCCTACGAATTGGTCGCCGAGGAGAATGGACTTTGTACCGTTAGACGTAAAGAAAGACTTGAGAAATAGAGAAAACGATAGATCTAGTTTCCTTATCAGCACGTGTACTTTTAGAGGCAAGGGTCGAAGTACAATATGGGAATTTTGATAGTGCCAAAGGCTAGAAGAAAGCAAAGAAAGCTGGGAAATGATGTTACCAAGAAATTATTGCCTGGAATAGACGAGAAAGATAAATCCAGAGATATTTAGAAATAGAGATTGCTCAGAAATGACTCATAATTCGAAGGGTACAAAAATTTTGGGGTCATTGGGATACGAAATTCACGATTCGGAGTACAAAATTCGTAGTTTTCCAAATATTTTGTGCCCCCGCCGAATTGTGGATTTTGCACACTTAAATTGCTTTGTACCCCGCTGTAACCCCGAATCATTGTACCCTCCAAATTAGGTGCCCTCAGAAATCATTGAAAGTGAAAAATATCTGTTTCGCATTAGAAAGCACAAGCAAGTGATTTTTCAGGTTCTTCGTTCTTGCTCGCTCGGACCCAAATCCAAAAACCCCAGCCGGCAAAGCATTCACTGCCTTCGTCGTCGAGGGAGACTCCCCAGGACTGACCCGTGGACGCAAGGAAATCAATATGGGACAACGATGCTCTGACACCCGTGGAATTACCTTTGAAGACGTGCGTGTGCCAGCGGCCAACGTTGTCGGTGCTCCAGGAGAAGGATTCAAGGTTGCTATGAAGACGTTCGACAAGACTCGTCCAACAGTTGCTGCTCTCGCCACCGGAGTCACCTATCGCTGTTTGGACGTCGCTACGCAGTACTCTCTGGAAAGAAAAGCGTTTGGAACTCAAATTGCCAACCATCAAGGTGTCTCGTTCTTGCTTGCTGAGATGGCCATTAATGCGGAGCTTGCCAGATTGATGACTTACAAGAGTGGAGCTGAGGTGGGTAGACTGAAATACACTTCAGAGTGTATATGTGTATTATACAAATGGGGAACAATATAGACGAGAAATGAGACGGACCGGCGTACACCCTCTCCTTTTATTGCCTTCGATTTATTGTCGCTTTCCCAAGAACCAAATAAGAAATACCGATCTTCTCATGCATCTCCCCATGCATCTGTTTTTCTTCATTCATTGTTTTCTTTTCCAGGTCGACGCTGGCCGTCCAGGCTCTTACTACGCTTCCATCGCTAAACTCTTTGCCTCTGACGCTGTCAACTCTGCCGCCACCAACGCTGTTCAAGTCTTTGGAGGTGCGGGATTCAACACTGAATACCCAGCTGAGAAGCTGATGCGTGACGCCAAGATCTTCCAAATCTACGAAGGAACATCCCAGATCCAACGCATGGTCATTGCCCGTCAGTTGCTCGCTCGAGTTGCTCAGAATGGAGGATACTAGAAAAATCCCATATTGTTTTAAAGTTTTGTACAAAACACTGGTATACATTGTAATTGTAAATGATTGAAGAGAAAAAATTGGTTTTGATAATTTATATTATTTGTTGATTATTTTTTGTTGGCTTCTTTGCGGTTGGCTCCCGTTGTTATATCTTTGTTCAACTTTTCTGTTTTTTTTTGTTGTAATCCAATCTAATCATTCAGGTTAAGAAAAATGCTTTCTCGCTTCGCCACAACCTCACTAGGACTTTCGCGCTCAGCGACCGGAGTTCTCGCCAGCCAATCTCGCCAGATCTCTTTCGGTAAGCATTTTAACTATTTTTATAACTAAAAAAAGAAATCTAGCACACTAAATCTTGATTTTTCAGATTTGAGCGATACCCAGAAGGAAATCCAAGCCGCCGCTCTCAAATTCTCCAAAGAAGTTCTCGTGCCAAATGCTGCCAAATTCGACGAGAGCGGAGAGTTTCCATGGGAGATTGTTCGTCAAGCACACAGCCTTGGACTCATGAACCCACAGATCCCAGAGAAGTACGGAGGACCAGGAATGACCACTTTGGAGACTGCTCTTATTGTGGAGGCTCTCTCTTACGGATGCACTGGACTCCAACTTGGTATTATGGGACCATCGCTTGCCATCGCTCCAGTCTACATTGCTGGAAACGAGGAGCAGAAGAAGAAGTACCTCGGAGCCCTTGCCGCTGAGCCAATCATTGCTTCCTACTGTGTCACTGAGCCAGGAGCCGGATCTGATGTTAATGGAGTAAAGACCAAGTGCGAGAAGAAGGGAGACGAGTACATCATCAACGGTTCCAAGGCCTGGATCACTGGTGGAGGGCACGCCAAATGGTTCTTCGTGTTGGCTCGTTCTGACTCGGATCCAAAGGCCCCGGCTGGAAAGGCGTTCACCGCTTTCATCGTTGATGGTGATACTCCAGGAATCTCTCGTGGAAAGAAGGAGAAGAACATGGGACAAAGATGCTCGGACACCCGCACCATCACCTTCGAAGATGTTCGTGTGCCAGCCGAGAACGTGTTGGGAGCCCCAGGAGCCGGATTCAAGGTTGCTATGGGAGCTTTCGATATGACGAGACCAGGAGTTGCTGCAGGAGCCCTCGGATTAGCATGGAGATGTTTGGACGAGTCGGCAAAGTATGCTTTGCAAAGAAAAGCCTTTGGAACTGAGATTGCTAATGTAAGTTGGTATCTGATTCAGAAAAAAAAATCAAATTCTGAATTTTTTCAGCATCAAGCCGTCCAATTCATGCTTGCCGATATGGCTGTCAACCTTGAGTTGGCTCGTCTCATCACCTACAAGTCTGCCACCGATGTCGACAACAAGGTCCGCTCATCGTACAACGCGTCGATCGCCAAGTGCTTCGCTGCGGATACCGCCAATCAAGCTGCCACCAACGCTGTTCAGGTATTTTTGGAGTTGCCTTTAAGTTGGGAACAGGCTGGATGATCTGTCAATCGGTTCTCAATTCAGACATGTTCTGATTTTTATGTTCAGACGCTATTGGGCCCTAAATGTGATATAAAAACTAAAAAATCTGACAAATAACATGCGGAATATCATTTGAAACCACTAAAATGATGGTAAACAGACTAGCTTTTTACGTTTCGCTCATTTCAAATTATATTTTTGAATTAAAAAATAACGAAAATGTTAAAAATCTGACGAATAACGAGCGAAATCCTATTGAAAACCATCAAAATGATGGTAAATGAGCTAACCTATGACGTTTTGCTAACTTTGAACTATCTTTTTTCTTGTGATTTTTGTACTTCCTTGCGCCTAGACATCATAATCAAATAATTTCTAAAATTAGCGTTTTCCTAGATTGAGTCTGATCGTAAACCTTAAAGCATACCCTATTTTTCACAATTAATTTTTGAAACCCATCCCTAATCTCTCCTTTTTCAGATATTTGGAGGAAACGGCTTCAACTCGGAGTACCCAGTGGAGAAGCTGATGCGTGATGCCAAGATCTACCAAATCTACGAGGGAACCTCGCAAATCCAACGCATCGTCATCTCCCGTATGCTCCTTGGACACTTTGCCCAGAACGGAACTAGCAGAATCTAAGCCACCAACACAACGAGGTCTCTTCTAAGCGTTATAAATTTTTGTATTATGTGTACACACAGCCACCATCGCTTTTTGTTTTAAGAAATGAGTGAAATGAATGGGTTTATAAATTATTCAAATGTTTTTTGACCGTTGTCGGGGAGGGTCCAAAAAATGCATGCATATGGTGGTTTGTCTTGAAGACTTCGTTTTCGACGTTTTCCCACTACTCCTACCCCATCACATTCATCATCTTGACACAGAAACTGTTATATAAGTGGACGATATCGTTCAAATGGGAAAATCTAGTGTCATTCCATTCACATATATGAACCTCTGATTCTCTTGACCTTCTCTCGATGAACCTTTTTGCTGCTACTGCTTCCGTTCTTTCCTAATTTGTCTTTGCCGGGACAAGCGTACTGTGTTGGTATGATGACCCAATTGGACAAGACAGTGTCAATAGGTCGAAAATGCGGTTGTCGCCGGCTATTGAATCTTCTGGAGGGAGGAATAAAGACATGAAAAGTGAAAGGATGTTTGAATGAAGATGTCAGTGAAAAGTGACATAGTTGAGAGTTCATACCAATCACACATATTAAGACCTCCTTTAATATCCAAAACAGGTTTTCAACTATTGTTACAACAAGAAGTTAGATATCAGTTGTTGATTATGGCTTTGTATCACTGTCTTGCAATTCATTTCCTCAGTTAGTCTTAGAAATTACTTGAATGGTTACTTGACGGTTAAATGTAGAATTTTGAATACTGTTCTTATGTTTTTTTACAAAATTTTCAAGTGTTTGTGATGTTTTTCATTATCCAAAATCCATTTTCTCTCCATTCTTGCTATTTTTCTTTGACAAGTAGTACAAGAACACATCTATTGCTTCTTTTTTTCTCAAGTTTTGCAGTTCTAATCTCCCACTTAAACAAATTTGCTCTTCTTTTTGCGAACACACAACCACAAAAAGTTGTCTAGGTCCACATAGACTAATTAGTTTTACCATCTTCCCAAATTTGTACTCTATCTTTGATCTATCCGAGAAAAAACCTACTTTTTAAAAGTAATTCGTTTGTCGTCTTCCGACAATTGTCCTTGTTTCTCATTATATTGCTTTCGGGAATCGCCATATTTATATTTCTTCAAAACTTTTATCCTTCTAATTGATCCAACTTTTTTTTCAAATGTTGTTTTGAACCGTAATTTTTTTGACTTTTTTTGGAACCAAATATTCTGAAAAAACGCGTTTTCAGATGAGACATCTCCAAATACTAGTGGTAATTATAATCGCACTGATAACGGCTATATTTTTCTACTCAAAATACACATTTGATGATGTTCTTGTCACATATAGTCCAGATTTTCATGTGAGTTTTGAGAAATTTCTATGAGAATTGAAAAAAAATTAAATTTGCAGCAAGCAGTTCATGAAATCCATCCTGTGGCGAAAATCCATCCTGTGGCCAAAGTGAAGACAATCAAAGATCCAAAACTGTTCCATCCGGGGTAAGAATTGTGGAATATGATTATTTTGCTTCTGATTATGATATAGAGTGAGAGACTATTTTGGGAATTTTAAATTATTCGTTTTCTCAGTAATTTATGAATTAATAATCTAAAAAATAAATATGCTGCGAAAGCATAAGAACCAAATTGTAAAAAATTAAAACTAGCATTTTTGACTTTGGTTTTCATACATTTTCCAAAAAAACATTTCAATAATGGTATACTGTACCGGTCAGATATACAAAAACGTGTTTTTCAGTTGATTTTGACCATTTTCAGGAGTTTGGAACTCGGCTGTCAAACTTTCAATGTTCTGAATGTTTTGAAGGGTGTGAAACAGACCCAGATTAAAAACTTTGAATTCACAGAATTTGTTGAAAATTTCTAGTTTTTCAGATTATTGCCGATTTCGGAAATACGCTTTTTTTCTCATAATTTCCGTTTAAATACGGGCTGAAAAGGATTATATTTCAGAAATCGGCAAATAGCTGAAAAACTAAAATTTCAAAAATACTGTGAATGCAATGTTTTTAAACTAGGATCCTCTGAATATCTCGAAGTGACAGGAAACTTGACAGTCAAGATCCAGACAACGGAAAATGACCAAATTGGCCAAAAATTAACTGAACAGAAATGTTTTTGGATATCTTATTGATCGGTACTGTAGGTATCAAATTGAATGCGAATTGCAGAAAATCCCCACACAAAAAAAATATGATTTGCCTTTCCCCGTGGAAGATAGTTGAATTTGAAAATCCCCAAAAAATAGTTTACAATTTTTCAAGTTTTCTAACGACTCCAATAATTATGAACTGTATTTTTAAGACTTTAAAATCAATCTCACTCCCCTGAAAAGGTAGAAAAATGATTTCCTGTACTGTATATGTGTCTGGAATCTAAACAGAATTTTCTAAAAGCTTTTACATTGCTTTGATTTTTGTGAAGTTTCAGATTTTTTTTGAACATTTTTTTGGAAATATGGGCTGAATTTTGAATCATTCTTTTTCTACCAACTCAAGCTTCACATATTTACAGTCCCCGTTCCAAATACCCGCCACGTCAAAACATGGGCGCGTGCCCTCCATTGTATGGAAAAGTACTCATATTTGTTGCCTTTGTCAAAAGCAGTATGGAAACGTAAATGTTTTTGTCAGTGTGACCTTTTTTTCAATTACTGTTTTCAGCCATTACAAAGTCGCACAAGAGTCATTGCAATGTTATTTGAAAGGCACAAACTACACAGTGGCCATGGTGGATCTTGATAATGATGAGAGAGTGAAAGCGGAATGCGGTAAAAACAAGCAGGTTAACAGTTTTTCTTTGTTTTGTTCCTTTGCATGGAAGCCAAACAATGAAAAAACCCATTCAATTTCAGTTGTTTTTCAAAAAGCACTGCGCCGCTGCCGCGTACTTACGTGATTCCGACTGGATGCTTGTTTTGGACGCCGATACAGGTACTAAGATAACTAAAGAAATGAAAGAGAATAGATGATTTCCCAGGAATTGCTAATCCGAATCATTGCGTCGAGGAATGGATTGATAATCGCGTTGATATAATTTTCTACGAGCGCTTCTTCAATTGGGAAATCGCCAGCGGAAATTACATTGTTTGTTGTTTTGTTTTCAATCAAACTTCTTATCAGCAAAAAGGATTTTGCAGGTTCGAAACACCCAATTCGCCAAGAACTTCCTTCAAAAATGGGGAGATTGGGAGTTCACACAACCGTCCAACTGGAATGGTGCGGATAATGGGGTTCTTCAGGTGCAATTGATAAAACGTTCGCCGACAATTCTTTCAAAGTTATAGATCCACATTCTGAAAACAGTGATCCCCTATGCAACTCAAGAAATCGCGAATTGCGACAAGTACTGGCACAACTCGACCGGTTATGACACATATATGGCATACGTCACTTGTTGCAAGTTGGCTTTGGGTAAATATTGATAACGGCTAGGTCAATCAGTGTGTTTGATGGTGTTCTATAGGTGCGACACGTCTATGGCCTGGGAAAGTAAGGATTTATCGACGAGCACATGGTTGGGTTCGAGATGGCTTCTTGACGACGGACAGGTTTTGTGATCGAGATTTCATGTTCCATGGTTGGAAGAACAATGAAGTTGGATTCAAGGGTTGGGAGAGTCCGTTTCCGGTGAGTGCGAAGGAGAATAATTTCGAGGGTACGAAAATTTCGGAGTCATTGGGGTACAAAGCAATTTAATGGTACAAAACCTCGAGTCTGCGTACGAAATAACTGAAAACTTCGAATTGCTACCCTTGAATTGTGGATTTTGTACCTCAAATCACATTGTACCCGTTGTACATCCGAATTGTTGTACCCTCCAAATTATGTGCTGTAAGGGTTGAATTTGGGAAAAATCGGTTTTTTGGTGTTTATAGTACGGTATATAATTGGAACGGTATAACCTGATAATTGAACAAATGAACATTGTAAATTTTGGCCATTTTCAGGATTCTATAGCTCGGCTGTCAAGTATTTGATCCCCTTGAAAATTGTCTATGGTCTGAAACAGATCTAGATTCAAAACTTCGCACTCTCAAAATTTTTTGAATATTGCTAGTTTTTCAGCTACTGGTCGATTTCTGAAAGATACCTTTCTGACATGTTTTTGTACTGAAAATGTCAAAAAACAGATGTCCTTCAAAAATCGACAAATAGCTAAAAAACTAGGAATTTTTAAAAATTCTGTGAATGCAAATTTTCCAATCTAGATCTGTCTTACACTCTCCAAAATTCTCAAAGTGATCGGGAACTTGAGAACCGAGCTCCAGACTCCAGAATATGGTAGAAATGGCCGACGATCGACTAAAGTTACTGTATATGTAGATTTGATTCATATTTTCAGAAAGTTTTAGAACAATCTGAGAACTTATATATATATATATATATTTATAGATATTAATAGATGCTTTTGTCAAACTTTAGGTCATATAAAATTCATAAAACTCCAAAAAAAATCATATTCCGAAAAATAACCTGGTTCCCCTACATTATAACTTAAAACCAATTCTTTAACACTAAAAAAATTCAATCTTTTAGAAAAACCTAAACGTTTCCCTTTGTGGTTCTGGCTATGATGGCTGGGTATATCGGCCGTTCAAAAACACAACTTGCGACAGTATCCGCCAAACACTTGCCAATTTTGAACGGAGTAGTGGTCGAAACTTCCCGAAAGAAGCTCGTGTCATACCCCATCTATCCGAACCTGATGTCGGACTGTGCTTCCCAACTTGTGATGATGATGTATAACAATTTTCGTCGCTTTAAAAACTATTGTTTTCCCAAAAACCTATCCATTTTCTGCCCTTCTCTGACATTCTCGTTGTTCTTGTGACCGGTATCAAAACCCTTATTCTGCATTCTCTTCTCTTTTTTCCAGTGTTTTGTTTTCCAGACATATGGTACACATTTGGTTGTAATTGCCATCCAAACAAACCAAACAATGCCTCATTTTCCTTTCAATGCCCATATATAACCATTTTTCTTGTTTTCTTTTCCTGTTGAATAGAGTCAAACTCCATGAAAAAGTAAAGAGTAAACCATTCGGTCTTCTTTTTTCTGTCCTTTCAATGCATCAGATCACTGAAAAGTGAAAGCGAGATGAATGGCGTGGTGGACTATAATCGCTATTATTAACCCTTTTACCTTTTTTGAGTGGTGGGCGCTTTTGAGACCTCAAGAGCCGACATATCGTTCCGCCAATTGCGATCCACTTGTGTGTATATCTTTTCTATTCATTTGCCTTTTTCATTATATCATTTTTGTAGCTTCTCCCACTTTTAAGACACTTCTACTAGCTAGAAACTGTTTAGTAGGCGACAAGCCACTTTGATTAGCCACTCGTTTTGTTCTATTCTTTTAATCTTCGCTTCAATGAGAAGCATGTGGTCGTGACCTAATCCAAGACTGGTGTGACCAAAACAACCTTTTAGCCAATCCAGGCAGCAGCAGGATTTCTCGTACAGTTCCTGTTCTACACAAACACACAAACACATCCATTATCCACACCAATTATCCTTTTTCTGAACCAAAAACATGACTAACCACCAAAGTTTTGATTGGTGCTTCAGTTTTAGAGTTTTATAATCTCTTTTCTTTCTCTTTCCTTAAAAACGGCTACAATAACCGTAACCGCTTTGGCGCCACCACTAGAAAAGGCGACCAAAACTAGTGGTATAGGCGGTCATTTGGTTAACGCGAACGGCGAGAAGACCCAATTTGCTAATCCAATCTCTTCCTTCGGTTCTTACCTATTTTCTTCAGATCGTTATTCTTTGATTTCGGAGAGTAGGTATCAGGATGAAGCCTTCAGCTTTTTCTAGGCCGACAGTAATTTTCATTTGATCAAGTGATATTTGCTCAGATTTTTGATGCTATATTTTTCTACCACTTCAACAAAACTGCTGGTTTTATGATACTACTTTTATCATTATCACATGGTACTCGCAATATTCAGACAAGTTTTCCTTATCTTTACAATGTTTATATGCTATAAAATGTGTTGACCTTTTGGGTAGTTCAGTTCCATTGGTGTTGATCAAATTATCAGTAATGTTTTTGTTGGTTTGAGTTTTGAAATAATTCACTTAAAAAGACAAAAATCTTTAAATAAGTCAAAAACCAGAATGTTTTGATTACTAACAATTTCAAAAACTTGAAAAAGTCATTTTCCTAAACACCGTAAAACCTGTGACAGAAGGACCTTTTATCTTTCAACTTTGAGCCAATTTATCTCGGTTCCTGACATAGATTTCAAAAAGTTGTCAACTGATAAATTGTTTATCACATTATCAGAATTGTTTCATCAGTTGACATATTTTGGATATCTTGCATTGGAACTGCGATGGTTTAGCTCAAACTTGACCGTGTGAGGCGCTTCTGTCACGGGTTTTACGGTGTTTTTTTCTACAGGAAGGTGATTCTTACAATACGGTTTTTAATAATTCTAAGCAATTCAGCTACAATCACGCTCACTTCCTTTTTTGTTCTCTACGCGCTGCCATACACTACAGTATTCTAAAATACTACTTACAGTAATCCAATTGGTAATACCCACAATAACTCTTACGATTTCATACCAGCGTGGGAAATCCAACGCGAGAGATCAAATCTTGTCTAACATCCCAACCGCAGTAGTCTGATCTCACGCTGTGCACTTCTAAAGCTACTACTTCTGATAAAACAAGATGATGGGGATGCTCAAAAATCTGCTCTCCCCTAACAAAATTGCTCCATGAGCACACTAACTTCCGCACACACAAGTGAGAATTCCGATGTCTTTTCAACTTGCCGCCCGGCCATGACCACTCGAAAGACAGCTACCGCCCCGAGCAACACGTAGTACAAGCATTTACCGGAGAAGGGTGGCTGGAGCATCCAAGGGAAGGGGGGGGGGGGTGTTGCACATGCCTTCTTCACAAGCAGCACATATATCAACAATTTGTCAACTGAAAAATTATTTATCATAATACCACCAATATTTTATCAATTGACACATTTTCATATCTTTCACAGGAATCGAGATAATTGAGCTCAAAGTGGACGGTTTGAATACATTTTTATAAGAGAAAGTACGGTATGTCTGTTCCTCTAGATTGTTCAGAAACATTTTTAGCCCTGTACCAAAAAAATTCACATTGTCAATTTTGAACCATTTTTTAAAATAAATTTTGAACCAATTTTTAACCCGTTTTGTGTCAATTGTGATGTATTTTTTGGGGGGGGGGGGTTTATGAATGTAACACAAATTGATAAATTGAAAATATGTTTCTAATATTATGCTTAACATTTCGTTAGCTAATCCCTTTTTGATATCTCTTATTCATTAGCCTAAATTAAATATTCGATAGCTTATATACAATAAGAATGCTGTCGATTACCTTTCCCGGCAACAGACATGTCTGTCCCATTCATTTCCTAAACCCCACCCAAAACAATTTTTGCCCTACATGGCTCCCAATAGTGCAAATTGTTCCAATGTTCCCAAAATAGACCATTTTGTTTTGATGTCCACACCACAAAGCTCATTTTACCGCAGAAATGTCTTGGTTACCCTTAATAGATTCTCAAAACTCATCAATCTTCCTCCCAAGGATTTGTCCTCTGTCCATTCCATCTCGAAAGAGTCCCATCACTCACATTTTGGAAACCAAGACAAATGCCGTAATCGTACAAATATCTTGTTTGCCGTCCCCTCCTTTCAATCCGCAACAAACCTCGCAATTTCGAACTCTCTTTTTCCTCCAGGAGAGTGTGTTCACACCACTTACCAAGTCCTCCTTCCACGGAGAGAGAGAGGGGCGTATACGGTTTGTACTATATGAATATATGCATGTTTGTAAAGATACGGTTTCTCACCTACTAAACCACTAAATCATCATTGCACCTGTAAGAAGAAGGAGAAGCTTCTTCTTCCTTTTCCTTTTCCACCCACTTCTCATCTTCATTTTCTTTTTCACACCAACCCGATACGTTTCATTAAACCGTAAAATAGATATATACACACAAGTCTGCTAACATAGAACTTGTTCTTTTCACTTAAAAAAACCTCTCTTGTGGTTTTTTTTATTGAGAAAGACCTTCAGAAGTTTTTTGTTTAATTTTCCATCTCAGGGCAGACAGTGAAAAGTACAAAATTGGGATTAATCCTTCCCAAATTTTCCTTTCACCCTTCTTCAAGTTTGTCCTGTGTCTTGAGGTCAGTGGTCTACGTTTTTACATATGTACTCTTGCGATAATCGCTCCTAAATGTTTACAAATCTTCTTTGGCGCCTTCCCCCTCTCCTCATGCTCCCAAATTTGTGTGAGTTTGTGTCCACACACACATGCTCCACGGGTGGTCTCTATAATTTCTGAGAAAGTGTGACTGGTGGTGTTGTTGTCGAGAAAACAGTAAGAAAAATCGTCGATTTGTCACATTGAATTCATTATTCATTCGTCCATTCTCTCTCCCATTTTCAATTTCAATTCGATTCGCAACTTTTCGAGGCAACGGCCCTCCGTAATCCGTTTCGCGTCCCACTGTGCCTGTCGAGACAGCGACAAAGACCGAAGGAGAAGGTCTTTTATGCTAATTGACAGACAGTAAGGGGCCGCGTGAATTGAAAGAATAGGGGAAGTTTGAAAGAATTGAAATGAAAAAGAAGAATGGGTGGAGTTCCATTTGTCCTCAGCTTCCATCTCTCATTTCCGTTCTCTATTCTAAACTCCATTTTCCTCAAACTTACTCTTTCCAATTAATTGGTACATTTGTTTTAGATTCCCAATAGAGGTAAGAAATTCAGATTTCAAAAAAATTGGAATCATCCTTACGAACCATACCGTATTTCCTTTGATAGAAGTTTACCCAAATTTAAGTTCAAGTATCTCGATTTCTGTAGAAGATATCAAAATTTTGTCAACTAATAAATTTTTTATTATAACATCACCATTGTTTTATCAGTTGATTAATTTTCGATATCTGTCACAGGGATCCAGGTAATTGAGCTCAACGTTGACGGATTGATTTGGCTTCTATAAAAAGAAATACGGTACGTCATAGTCAAATCAGACACTAGGGTGCCGGAGATTCTGTTTTCCTAGTTTCAGCTGATAGGAAATATAGTTGGAGATTCACTTTTGTCGTACACAACTCTGTACAGAACTCAGTTTAAAAATGGTAGGGCTTATGAAAGTTATGATTTCCTCAAAATTCCATACTTCACTTTGGATATATGAGTCATGAGATTTTTGGACATACTCATTATCGAGTTCAAAAGCTTCAGGTGAAATGATCAAATTATGTCTCAGAAATGAACTAAATTCTGTTGAATTAGTCGAAAATGGATTGAGTGTACCAAACAAAAATAGAGTTTCAATTTTGTAGTTGAAGAGATTTTTGTACAAACTTGTATAAATTAGATATACCGCTCAAAACTAGGCAAGTGCTGATTTTTTAGAAATATCATTCAGTGAAGAGCGGACCAATTCGTACGGGCTTATTTTATTTGGATGAATTTTTACGAAAATGTTGTCAACTGCAGAATTGAAGCTCTATAATCGTTTTGTAGCCCTGAAAATTTGTAGCCTTATGTAACAATGAAAATTGGCAAACTCAACTCCAATCCTCAAAATGTTCAAAATTCATTCTTATCCGGATACACAAAAGTCAAAGAATCGTATTTTAGTTCTCCTCTGCTCCTCCTTCTAGAACGTTCAAAGTTCTGCCAACACCGCAGTGTCTTCTTGTTTCTTTCTCTCTAATTCGTTTTCGTTTTCCTGATAACACACATACAAATTGGGACAAGCCGCCCCAAACATTTGCCACATATGGCGACGGGGCAAACACAAAGCTGTCACAAGCCGAAACGAGAAAACTGTCAAATGGACACATTTCCTATTCAACGACAACCGAATTTTCTTACAAGCCCCACCAATCCAATTCATTTTGAATGGTTGGATGGCAAGTCTATCCTAACATTTTGCATTCTATTGGTTAGGTCGCTATCGAGAAAAGGTTGACGCGCACACTGGTATTTGCTCAACTGCCTTAGTTGGTTGGTGGGGGAGGCTTTTGCATAGGCTCCTCTTCTTCCGTGTCAACGCAAGTCAAGAAACGAATAAGGAGAGAAGATTGCCAAAAAACCACACCACACCTTTTTTGCAGCATTACGCATTGATATGTGTTCAGTTAACCACTTTCACCCCGTATCATTCCTTCCACCATTTAGAATCATTCATTCAGAAACGTTCGCTTTTCCTCCATCCGACCCCTCTAAAACCAATTTCAGCAAAAAGGACGAAACGTTCTTCCCCTTTTTTCCTTCGCCCTTCTTACTATTCCGCGCTTCGTTTTTTTTTATATGTCATCGTCATTGTGCTCTGATAAGCCTCTAACAACTGTCGCTTTTTTTTCTCTCTCTCTCTCAATTTTTGACGTTTTTCCGAATGAAATAATCCATTTTAAGAAAATCATGACTGCAATTCGTGATAACTTGTGTGAACTTGGACGTCTCGAGATCCCACGTCCAAAGTGTCAAGGAATGCAGTTTGTGGCCACTCGTGGAAGACAAGGGTTCTATAGAGTGAGTCTCCATCAAAAGAGTTCAGGTCTATTACCCAAACTTTAGACAATCCGCGAGAACGGAGCCATGTACGGGATTCAACTCAAGCCACAAGGACCAAAGCGACCACAACTCAGCTCGGATCTTTTTAATCGGTGAAAAAGAGCGAAGATATTAATAAGACTCTGATTTTTAAAAGTTTCAGACCAATGACTGTTCCAGAGGAGAACATTGAGGAGGTCGAGGAGGCTCAAACCAGTCATCCGGAGGTGAAGAAAGTGGAGCTCAACAATAACAACAATTATAAGGTGAGGAAAGAAATTGAGTTGTGATAAGCGTCATACCTTCCTATTTGGAAATATTAGAAGGTCAGAGAGAGGAAGCAAAGGAAAATGAAAGTTCTGGAATAATTTGCGAAAAAATCGGAAAAAATACACAAATATTGATAAAAGTGAATCTTGGAAAAAACATCTTTAGTGTAAATTCGTTTAAAATTCCGCTTAATAAAGAACAGTATGATACGGATTTGAAGAGCTTTTTTGCAAAAAATCAAAAGACCAAACCGTTGCTTCTTGGGTAAATGAAACTCATTCTCACTGAACCAATTTGTTTAATTCCGGTAAATAAGATACAGAAGATATTTTCCAATTGATTTCTGGTCATTTTTACCATTTTCAAAAGTCCTGAGCTCGGCTGCCAAATTTTCTATCACTTTTAAAGTTTTGGATTGTGTAAATCCGACCAAGATTGCAGTTACTTTGCAGTTACACAATTTTTTGAAAATCCCTAGTTTTTCAGCTATTAGTCATTTTTCAAAAGACTTATTTTTCCTATTTTTTTGCTGAAAATGTGAAAAAAAGCAGGAATCTTTCAGAGCTCAGAAAATAGCTGAAAACTAAGAATTTTCAAGAAATTCTTCGTATCAAAAGTTGTCAATCTTAGTTTGTTATACGACCTTCAAAGTTTTTGAATCGAATGAAAACTTAACAGCCGAACTTCAGGCTCCTAAAAATGCCGAAAATCAACTGAAAACTCGTTTTTGTATATTTTATTGACCGGTGATGTATCTGGAAAAATTTGCACACTTGAAATTGAGAAACTGAGAACAATATTATTGAGAACAATATTTACTATAAAATTGAGAACAATATTGAGAACAAAATTGAGAACAATGTTCACTATAAATTCTTACATGGGTCTCTTTTTCACGCTGTTTAAGAATTTGTAAAGCTTCTGGATGTCATTTTAAAAACTGTAACTATTTTCAAAAGTAGTAAAAAACACAGAAATTTGGAGTTTCGCTTGACAAATTACAGTAAGATCTGGGTCTCAACTTTTATTCTTTCTACAAATAAATGTTCAAAAGCAGAAAAAAAACTTTTTTGCATCTTAATTCAAAATGTCTGATTTCTCATTTTTTAAAGTGCCTACAGTACTGCCCACATGTTTTCAATTTCATGATTTTCCATTATTTTTCAGTTCAACTACGCTTCTCGACCACCAATGCCACCACAACAACAATCCAAGCCAATCTACTTGTATTCACCACAACCACAACCACAACAACAGCAGCAACCACAAACTCAACAAGCTCCACAACCAAGAATGTTCATGCAGCCACGTGGCATCACCTCAGCCGTCAATACTCGTCCATCTTTGGCAGCTCAACCGATTTCTCAAAAATAATTTTTCTACGGTTTTCCCACTTTTTTCCCGTTTTGTCCCTGTGTAAGGTCACAATTGTTTTCAGAAACATTACACACACACGGCTAATTTTTTGGTCACAAAAAATAGTTAATTTTTTTCTTTGCTACATTCTTTTGCTTCTCTAAATATTGAAATAACTTTTTCAGAACTGCAAATTTCCCAATTTTATCGTTTCTCTACTGTATATACATATTTACTCTTGTCACTCGGTATAAATACTATAAATATCATTTATACGTTTTGAATGCGATTCGAATGCATATCACATTCGAAGTGCAAAGTGAAATAGTTGGGGAAGGAGGCGGCGAGGCGAGGTGAATGGCAAAAAAACAAGTAGTACGAGGACTTGTACTGGAACAAAGGTCAACTGAGAGGGGGTTGGATGGTATTATAAATATAAAAGAACAAATTTCACTAAATACAAACACAGGAATAGAAGAAATGGAAAGATGATCCGGGCAGGGGCACTGGAAACGAGGGAGGGACTTTAAAATTTGACTAAATGATTTTTTTCACAATTATTTATCACAGGGCTGTTCTTTAAATGTGTACAAAACTAAAAATAATTTATATACAATGTGTGAAAAGCCAATATTTGGGACTAGCGTTTAAACCGTATGTCATATGATACAGAAAATGAGTATTTGATTCCTTATCCTAACAGCAAGTTGGCTGCAGCTGAGAGATCATATTGACGAGCCTCAAGAGCTCGGCGAGCCTGGTCCGGTGTGTTAGCCACGCCAATGGCCATCAGATGGTTTTGTTTGAGGAGCTTCAGAGCCAACTCTGTGTCACCCTTGCAGTGGGTTACCATGGTGTCGCAGTTTCCGCGTCTGAAGAAAAATTTAATTAGATTTTCAGCTAGAATTCTTAAAATAAGCCTCATGTAACAAAAATACCGTAAAGACTCTAATAAAACGCCACCCAACCCGTTAACGTTGCCATATATCTTGTTTACAGTACACAATATCAAAAAATAGTCAACTGACCACATTTTTATCATGTTATTAGAATATTTTTTCATTTATCACTTTCTGATATCTTCTACAGAAACTGAGAAAAAGTTAATCAAAGTTGAAAGTGTGGGTGGCGTTTCATTAAAGTGTTTACGGTCATTTGTCAGTGATCAAAGCTTTTAAAAAATCTCACTCTGTGAAGTCCGCTTCTTTGTACAGCACTTCCATTCTATCTGCCATACTAAGATCGTTCTGGTAAGAGGTTGATGGAGCAGATGGAGCTGATGGAGTAGCAACTGGAGCACTTGGAGTCACCCGGCTAGCTTCTTGACGATTCTGTGCTCCAAGAAGTTCGTTGATGGCTGACTCATCTAGTGGTTGAGCCGAGCCGGAGAATCGATTCTCTGATGGAACCAGTGGTGGCAATGAGTTGACAGCTTGATTCGTCAGAGCCAATTGTCCCATTCCACTCATGTAAGGATTGTATCCTTGGACTCCTGGATAGCCTGAAAACATATTGGGTTTAGAAGTTTGAAAAATTTAACGCGAATTTACCTGAATTGTAGTTCATTCCATAACCGTACGGTTGATATCCGTTTCCGTAATTCGGGTAGTTGTTCAATTGGGGATACATGTTTGAATTGGTGATGTTGAAGAGAGGGACGTTGGTGCTCTGAGCAAGCGGATTAGCTGGTTTCTTCTCCGCAAGACGGGTTTGTACAACTGGTGGAGATGGATTACGAACTGGTTGCGGAGTTGGAACCGGTTGCGATATTGGCTTTGGTGTAGATGCAGCGCTTGGCACTCGAGTTGGTTGCAGAACTTCTGTTGATAAAATCGGCTCGGACGTCTTCTTTGGAGGCATTGTCGGTTGAGGTTGAGATGGCTTCACTTGAGCGGCTACTGGTCGATCCCTTACAGCCGATTGTGTTGTAGTGGATGGAACAGCTGAAGTGGAATTCGATCCCAAGAGGAGAGCACTGGGAGCCGGAAGAGCTGACGCAACGTCCTGGATTATTCTGGATCGACGTTCTTCTTCAGACATGGTGATGGTCTGAGTTGATCGTCTCGTAACCACAGATGAAGCTGATGTAGTGGCTGAGGTGGTTGTCGGAGCAATCGGAGCAGGCGCAGAGACCTTCCGACTCTCTGTTGCTGGAGGTGCCAGCGGACGGGAAGTTGTTGTCGTCGTTGCTGTAGCAGTGGTCGCAGCTGGAGGTGGGAGCTTGACCTGTTGTGGTTGAACTGACGCAGGTCTTGCTTGCCCAGGCTGTTGCTGAATTGGCTTCTGAACCACTGGCTGCTGGGAAATCACTGGTTGCTGTACCTTCTGTGGCTGAAGGGCTGGTTGACTCAACGGCATCCCTGCTCCATTTTGTGTTGCTCTCGGTAGTCCATTCGATGCGTTCCCGCCGCTCGTCGGTCGTCGACTCAAATTTCCTTTTAGCTCATCAGCCAACGCCTTCTGCAGTGGGTTCTGCTCCTGGTTGGTAGATTTTCTTGGTTGATGAGGTGCAGGTGTTGGTACCAGACATGGAAATTGCGCTGGTTGCTGTGGCATGGATGGAACGTTGACAACAGAGAATGGACGGTTGATTTGGGGGTTGTAAGCATTCTCCATTCCATTATTCAGAATCCCGATAGAAGATGCTGGTCTTGGTCGCATCATGTTATCACTCCCTCCATTCAAGCGTGACTGGAGCTCCGGGATCAAGTTGTTCGGGATGTTCTGCTTTTGCTGATTCAGAAATGATGGTTGACCCATATTCTCAAGTCTAGATCCGGCCGAGTTGTTATGACGAGGTGGCTGAAATAACTAAATTAAACCTAAAATCGTTGAATTAACAAAAATCTCACCTCATTACGAGACGTATCCGGCTTATCAACATAAACCGTTGATCCGTGTGGCTGCGAAGTTCCGAATTTTTCGGGCAAGGGCATTGAGATTACTCCACTAGCCGTTGGAGCCACCAGAATTGGCCTGGATGAGGTTGGAGGTTGGACCTTCTCAATTGGGATTGGCTTCAGCACGTTTCCTCGAATGTCGAATGTTGGATCGCGACGTTCTGGTGCCTTGATCAAAATCGTTTCCTCTGATCTGTTCCCGTTGCTGATGATGATGTCGTTTCCTGAAGCTAAATATCGATTAATAATGAGAAAATCAAAACAAGGTGTTAATTTCTGGGCTACACGAGTCGGACAAAACATACCAAAGCCACGTGGCATTTCAATCTTCGAAGGGGAGAATCCATCATCAAACGCACGGTCGAAATCATCGTATTCCGGTAGATCAAGCGATAGAGTTCGAATCTTGGACATGGCAGGATTGGTTGGAGCAGCTGACAATGGGGTAAATGTTAACAAACATAAAACGACAAAGACGCAAGATTTTTTTTCTCAATTTTTTTTTCATTTTTGAGAATGATAAATACTAAAAGGTAAATAGTGAATCTAAACTTTGCCAACTTTTTTCTGCTATTTTGATCTGGTTTTTAGTACAAACTGAAGACGACTAAAACAGCCAACTTGTTTTTTTTTTCAAACAATAATAAATTCCTACCAGGTGTGTGCGTGCTTCTGCCTCCGTTAGTGAGCAACTCCTTACTAGCGATAACTTGAGCGCCATTGGACATACTAAAAACACAGAGGGTCAGGTGACAAGAGGAAATATGAGGCAAAGGACAAACCTTGACAATGGGACTCCTTTCACAGGATTTTTCAGATACAAATCGTCGATATTCGATGGGTTTCCCCACGATTGACCTCCGAGTGGATCTCCGTGACCGGTGTGGATGAAGGAGCCTGGAGGGGAGGACATGAGGTAAAAGAGACAAGGGGAGATAGGGTGGTTATTTTGAAAAAAGGATAATAAAAATTACTCACCAGCAACCGGCATGGAAATTCTCGACGTCCGATCGTTGTATGACGTTTTTGTGTTATTATTCAGAGGTTTAGACGCGAATGGAAGAGGTGGAGGCGCTTGAATCACTGGTTCAGGTCTCATTCTGATCGTTGGAGCTGTCGGAACCTTCTGTAAAAAAAATTTACACAATCATTGAGCACTACACACTTGGAATGGGTAAAAAAAACCAACTTGTGGAGTAACAGCGGATGCCGCCGCGACCGCGTGGTTTGTTTGTGCGAACACCACCGATCTCGGAAATGTTCCGAACTGCTGATTCTTTTTGTTTTGTCCAAACCGTCCTGACCGCTGAAAGAAAAAGAGGAATTTGAAATCAATTGTTTGAGAGCGCTGGGAAAATAGGGAAATGAAAAACTAACGTGTTTTCAACAACCACCACTTCATCTCCTTTGGCTAGAATGAGGGCTCCTGGCTGGATGGAGTTGTACCCTTCTCGAGCAACAGCGTCAAGGAAGAAAGCAGAATTCAGGTCTTCTCGAATTGTTCCAAACTTGCAACGTTCTGCTGGATTGGATTTCCAGCAGTTGTTCATGATTTGATAGATCCTCTCTGAGCAATATTTGGGTTTCTCCAGCCTCTCTCCGGCATCAATATTCTTGAGCACGTCGATGGCACGACATCCGACCCACGGTTCCTCGCCGAAAGTGAACAGTTCCCAAATCGTCACTCCATATGACCAAACATCAGACGCATGGGAGAATTTTCTGTGGCGAAGAGCTTCTGGTGGGCACCAAGCGAAAGGAACCTTCTTCTGTGGAGCCATAGTGTACATTTGTTCATTGTCCTTGAGTGCTCGCATGAGACCAAAATCACAAATTTTGACAGTCTGAAAAAATTGATCCTCGGAATAGATATCGAATATCAAAAACTCACATTTTCATCCTTTGCGAGGAGGATGTTCCTGGCCGCAACATCTCTGTGAACGCAGTGTTTGGATTCTAAGAACTGTAGCGCCTTGGCTATCTGGATACAGTAATCATGTAATTTCGAGACCAGCGGTATTGACTTCTTGTCATCTCGCAATCGATCCAACAACGATCCGCCCTCGCACAGTTCAAACACCTAAAGTTCATGAAATTGGAGATGTATATAAATCTTTTTTTTGGCAAACAAACCATCATTGCCGGCTGGTGAACAATTCCGTACAGCCGAATGAGTGAGGAGTGTTGGAGTTTGAGCAGGTGGCTGGCCTCAACTCGTAGATCGTCCATGATGTTTGGGGAGATATCGCGAAGGATCTTGACGGCAACATCGATCCGCTGTCCATTGCTTCTGGCCCAAGTTCCACGCCTAACAACTGCGAATGAGCCTTCTCCGAGTTGTTCGAACAGCTTGATCTGGAAAAAAGCAAAGATTAAAAATTGGGATTTCTGAAGTAAGATTGTTGAGTTGATATGCTCTGAATTCGTCTATAATTTCATAAAATGCTCAATTTTATCTAAAACTGCGTCAAACCCGTCTCAAACGCTGTGAATCTTATCGGATATCCAGAACATAATTTTTTTAGGGAATACTTCATTCGAATTAGCTTTGGATTTTTCTAAAGTTTTTGTGACTTGTTCTCGATGTTTATTGTCAGTCCATGAGCTTTCAAAGTCTTAAAATTGTTAGGAAAATTGCTGTCGTACAAAATGTCGAAATGAGTACAAAATGTCCAAAATCTGCCATATTATTATCAGTAAAAATGCTCGATATTGTCATAAACTGTGTCTAACCGGTTCGAAACGTTATGAATCTCATTTGATATTCTGAAGCTAACTTTCAGGTAAATATTCTGCTAAAACAAGCTTTTCCAAATTTTCTGAAGGCGTTGAAAATTGCACTGAAGGTCTAAAGCGTATCCTCGAACTTTAAAAGTCTCAAAATTTGCGAAAACGATTTTCTTAAATCTCAACTCCAGATAATCTTTTGATCAATTTTTCAACCAAAACAATTTACCTGCTCATTGGGTATGAATGCCTTTTCATCAATTGCACTTTGATTTTGTGTTGATTGGTCACCGGCCACGTACACCTGCTTTGGATCGCTTCGATTCCACATTTCTCTTGACATTTTGAGAATTTGTTCACGAAGCTGCCTGATTTGTGGCTGCTGCATTCCGATATCCTTAAAAAAATTAGTTTCACAAAAAAGCCTCTTCACAATCTTCTGCATACCTGCATATCCTTGTCCCGTACATGTGAAAAGTGATCAAATCGTCGAACATTGAAGACAAAAACGAATTTATCCTGGTAGGCTTCGAGCTGGGACTTCCGGAGCACTTCCAGCACGATATCATCGACAAGCACCCCTCCTGTGCTTGCCATTTTTGAGTTCTGCAAAAATATAAAATTCTATAAGCGAAAGTAATCAAGGAGAGTGGTTGGCGAGAAATCAATCATGGACGGAAAGAAAAGCAACACTTTTTGAAAAAAGAGAAAAACGTCGAGAAAAAAGGGTGTTAGTTGGCAAAGAGGACATTTCTGCCGAGTCTGACTGATAACACAAGGGGGGGGGGGGGACGATCAAAACTTGGTCTTTTGAGTTTAAACTTATCAATTATCATCGAAAATAGAAAAAACATCAGTTTCACAAGAAATCTAGGAAACATATTCATCTGGTTCGAATATGACTAACTTAGTACACATGTTCATGACGTATGCATGACGCATTATGAGCATATGAGTTGACTCAAACCAATTCTGATAAGGCCATAAATATAGTCAGAGAATCGAAATGTTGTTTTGAAAATACACGATTTTCTCAAATTTATTTCTACCGCGAGAAGAATCCTCTCAAATGAAACGGACTGAGGGAAAATCTGAATTTCCCAAATTAGATTTACAAGAGGGATTGTGCAAAAGTGTGAGTTTGTGCGCCATCTCAGACTACAAAAGTACAACTTTTTCGTGTTCTTTGGTGAACGAGAAGACATTGGCAAACAGTTTGACACATTTATGCTACAAATTTGAAACATTTCTCCAACAAAAAGGTTTCCCAACAAAGGAAAACGAAACGTTTTCATTTTCAATTTCTAATCCGATCAGGAACTATTGTTTTGTTTATAACAACGGCATGACAAAGATTATTATTACATAAAATTTCTTTTCAAAAAAAAAAAAAAATAGAAAAAAAAGGTCGAGACGCAGAACAAAATGTAGTGAGTCGAGGAGACGGAAAACTAGAGACTGCCGGCTGACTGGAGAATGTTGACATTCGACCGTGGTTGATGAAATAGTAAAACACGCAGAGTATTTTGTAGCGAGACGCAGACACAAGTAACGTGAAAGACTGGATGGTGGAAAGAGAAAAACCTACAAGAACTCTCCAGAGGCTGGGAGTTGAGAAAGAGAGAGAGGAAAAGATATAGATGGAATAGATGAGAAGCAGGGAGGATGGTGAGGAAAACGAGTGCTGAGGTAACTTTGTGGAAGAGAAGGGTGTTCTTATTGCATGTGTGTGTACAGACACCCAGGAGAGAATTCTTCTAGTATGTTGCCAGCCAATTGGATCTGGTTTTTTGATGGGTGGAAACTTAAGAAGACGAAGAGGAAAACGAAGACGTCGTCTTCTCATCTCTTCCTTCTTTTCATTCAATTTAAATAGCATTAAGACGACGAAGATGTGTTACAAATGAAAAAAAGAAACTTCTAGACAAGCAACGGTTTTTTTTTATTTCTTCTCAGCGCGCTTCTCACTCAACTGGAACTATGAATCAGAGACATTTAAAAGACGGAGAGTCATTCTTGGGCTATAAACCATGTTTCGAAATTTGAATGTAAACAAAAATGCCGTGGGGCTTTGTAACCCGTTTCTGCTTGGTGAGACTGATTAGAAAGAGGAAAACTCGGCAAAAATAAATTTTAAAATGAGGAAGGACCAACTGATTTGGTTTTTTTTTTCGGCGAGACTGATTAGAAAGCCATAGGGAAGAAGAAAACATTTCTAAAGGAACATTTATTTTTGAATTTAAGGATCTCTAGTCCTATTTTCAAAATCTATTAATTTGAAAATTTTGAGCTCCTGGTTCTCAACTAGTTTCGACGAATGTTTCAAGATTTCCAGTCATGAATATTCAGTTGAGCAGCATGAGTCTGATCTAGTGACGCTGGAAATATTGATTAGAAACTTCAATTTACGGAAACATCTACCTACCAAAACTGAGCTCTAGCCTAGTTGGAAGACAATTTTCCAAACAACGCGAACCAGAGAACATTGAAATTTTTGGATTTCCAGTCCTGTTTTCCAAAATCAAACAACTGATTTGAAACTTTGAATTCCTTGAGAAAATTTGAAAATGCTCCAAGTTATATAAATTCTCGTTTCTAGAGCTCTCCCATCAAGAATTCATAAAAATGCAATTAGACAGCGTGATTCTGATAGAGTGACGCTCAAAAATCTGAGTGAAAACACACAATTACGGAAGACATCACCAAAAGTC